CCATGGTCATTCATGACGACTGGATGATTTGGGGTACCCCTATTTTACCAAGGAAAAAACATACAAAGTGGTGCCCCAGTTCGATAGCTAAGTTGGTGAAAATAACTACAATTTCACTAGGACTTATGGTAGATATATCTATGGTTTTTCTGGGGTTATGAACCAACGTTCACATCACTGGTGAGGGGTACCACATTGTAGGGAATTCACTTGAGTTAACCCATGAAATCTCGACCGATGCTGGGTTGACTTAGTGGTATCACCTTAACTTTCCAGATCTTTAACTAGGAAAATGTGGGATACCTTACGGCACCTCAAACATGTCATGTCACTTGGCAAAGTTCATTGCAAAAGTTGACCAATAAATAAGAGTACCAAAATAAAGGATAGAACAAGTAAAATCCTACTAAATTTGCAAATAGTGAAAAAATCAGCTTGCTTTCTAGGGATTTCTATGATTTTCTATGTCTGGAGATGTGGTTTTGTATTTAGTATTTACTTTGTCTAACAACTGCAGTAACAACCGCTCAGTTGTATGGTTACAATCTCTTCATTTGTTGCATGTTTTCGGGATCGAGTTAGCGATGGGTCAAGTTGCTGGGTAGGTGGTGCCCCAGCACTAGGATACGTTAAGGTAAATATATCGAACACATGATATGGGCGAACATGAGCCAACAACCATAACAGGGGGGCGAGCCACTTTGTAGTGTGACCCATCCTCAGTTGGGAATGGCTGGTTTGAGACCATCAACCTCTTGTTTTACATACACACATAGCCCTTGAGGACAAAATCTGAATTTAAAATCCAGAATCAAATCCTCAGTCAAAGATTCAATTCAGTCAGAATCAAATCCTCAATCTAATTTTGTCCAAAATTCGGAATTTTCAGAATCAAATCCTCAGCTTCAAAGTCTACAAAGTGGGACCCCTATTACCAATAACCAAGCAGCCTCATTGGGTCGATCGCGACGTTCGCGATAGCGCGCCACGGCCTTGGAAAATCTTTGGTAACAAAGTGGTTCTTGGAAATTACACCTGAATGAAGCTAAAGTTCTCGGTCTGGGAATGGGTTACCATGTATCATGGTATATTATGCCTAAGATAACATTGGGAAATAATAGCTTACTCTTGCATTTTATGTGTCTGAAAATGGAAGATTCCCAGTCAACTGCGACTTGTTTGATTAAAAGCTCAACATTAAATTGCTCAAGCATGGTTTCTCGCTTCTCTTCCCCGAGTCTCAGCGTAGTCCAGCCACTCGGACATGAAAGAAGAATGCCATAGCAACTGAACGGCAGCATTCAGCCAACAGGTCACATGTCCAAAATTGACCAAGCCAGTGACTGTGTTCCGTCCTTCTGGCCAGCGTGGCTCCAGGTTCTTCTGCGCATGATGTAGCGCCTGAGCCCCGAAAGCATTTTCCATTCGCAGGCTATCACTTGCAAGCTCCTGCGATTGCCACACCAATCGTTTCTGAAAGAATCGCGCAAAGCAATCTGAGATCTGATAGCCACGCGCCGATCCAAGCTCTGCATTGTATCTACGCATTGAACCATGATGATTGCAATGGGAGTAGCAATGGGCATTGAAATGCAATCGTGACGTGAGAGAACGTAGGACTATAGGCAGGAACACGGGGTTGCAACCAAGAAGATACTGATGGGGTTGCATATAAAGAAAGCACATTGGATTGTACACAGCAACAATTCAAAATAGATGATTGGACCAAAGGACACGGTTTTTTGTTGCTTGCAACAGTAGCAATATCACTTATTTCACTAGCAAACGAATATATAACTTGGGTCACATTATCAGTAGCCATAGGGCCATAGGGATGCAAACAACATGCGTTTCTCTCGGTGCAAAACAAATGGGTATGTTGACGCTACAAAACAGGACAAAAACAGAGGGATTTGTCCTGCTATATCCATATGCTGAGAATATCTCCAGAAGCAACAGCAATGGGCATCTACATTGAATTTCATGGATCTAGATTGGCCAGCAAAAATGTGGCGATCAAGATTGGTGGCTCATTGTATTTAGAAAGTAGGTTTCGAAACCTGCCTTTCAATAGAATGGGTAGCTGGGATTACTTCACTCTCAATTGGGGTCACAAGCAGGATGAACAACCAAGTACCTTGGAACACATGGGTATGGATATGGATCCAAACCTACTAACCCCCAAATGGGTAGGTGAACATCTCAACCAAGGTAAGTAGGTGATTGAGCACAAGTGCTTAGATACACACCAGAATTGGGGTTTCATACTACTTCGTCAATAAGTTACTTACCATGTACCTGGTGCCAAATACGTGAAGTAGGAATAGTTCGTTTGCTAATTGAGGGCTCTACTCTAGGTACTAAGTGGGCTAAACCATCAAGAAGCAAGGCTTCTTAGTGCAAGCAGCATTTTAAAACGTTGTTTCGTCCATTTTCCCATCAACATCACCAAGCATAGCAGTCGGGATCATTCTCAGAAGTTACTTGCATCCATCCGTGTATGATCCCTCATACATTGTATAATATATACATAGAACCACCCAAAACGATAGAAAAGGGGCAAATCATGAATATTCTTCAAACTATTTTTGCTTTTCTATTTCTTTGGGGCTTCCTGGGGTGGATAGATATGGACATTTCAAGAATTCCCCACTAAAATGGGAACATGATTGACAAATCCATGTTCCATCTACTTAAGCATGATTATGTATGATATATATACATATTATATACTGTAATTATGATAAATTATGTACGAGTATGTTCTATGTATATCTGGTTGGCGGTTTCAACCCCTCTGAACAATATTAGTAAGTTGGGATTATTTTCCCAATATATGGGAAAATAAAAAATGTTCCACACCACCAACCAGAATATCTTAAAATCACCATTTTTGATGGGCTAGAATCTCCCTAGTTCTTGGAGTTCTTTGCACCAACTTAGCTATCTATGGGGCACCACATTGTATATTATAGACCAACCACCAACCACTCTACCATTCACCAACCTGGACCAGGAAATCTGGGACACCCCACGTCCTCGGCGGTCCAAATGGCACGCCACGGCTCACCATTGCCGATGTGCGCACGGACCTTGGGGTAATGGGAAATGGTTGGAATTTCATCGGATGTCAGTGGGATTTTCATGGGATTTAACATGATTCATATGATTTAATTAGTTAATGTCAATGGGATCTTGGTTGACTTTTTTCCATGAAACCCTTCCCTCATCTTCCAATTAGCTGCCAAGTAGGTAAGAGAAGGTGGAAGGTTATATGCAGGTCAGGTAGTGTTTGCCGATCAGCCAATCACCTGGCTGTTGTCTATCGGCATCATCAATTAAAGTTAGTTGAATCAGTCGGAAACATTGCAAATCTTAGGTTCATAGAAAATACATGTTGCACTGGTACACATCACACTGATTTCACTGCCCACTTCAACATGTGCGAATGATTTTCATGGGTATCTGCACCCCTATCCAATGGTGACCTAGTGAAGAACAAGGCCCCAAAGCACAGGGTAAAACATGGTGTTCCAATGCTAAAGCCATGCTGTCCTGCAATGGGTTTCCAGCAAACAACATGTTCCATGTTTATTGGGTTCTACTTCTGTCATCAAACACTTACTGGAATTCCTGTACTGAAAAACACTGAACTTGGGGAACTGGTGTGAAATTTCCCTTCAACCAATTCGTTCAAGTAGGCACCCTCTGGTAATCACTAGCAGAAATTAGGAATTGAACACACAAGGAGGGGTTCCACAAATTGGGACCATATCAATGGCCATTTCAGGAACCTAAATTGGAGGTACCTACCATATATAACGCCTATGTAAGGCCTTTGTAAGGGGCTTTATATGATACAGTACCTCCATTTTAGGATCCTGAATTTCCCATTGACCATATGAGGGTTTCAAATGATTTCGACCCACCGGTAATCTGACCTAGCAATTTTGAGCTCACCATTTTTGTCTAAGAAATTGACCAAAGTCATCGACCACTTGGTGGTTGACCTATCCATCTGAAAAATATGATTTCGTTAATGGGAAGGATGACATCCCAGATATGAAATGGAAAATAACACATGTTCCAAACCAGCAACCAGTCTATATATATAAGTCCGGATATTACACGGTACCAATGTAGCAACCCCGCCATACACACCATCCACAATGACTTGCCAGAAATGATCAGTAAGTTAAGAGAATATATCACCCGCTTAATTGTCGCCTATATCCTCCTTTTGCTTTGCTATGATTTGCTTAAAGGGCCCGTGAAAAGTGAAAAGCTACTCCTCATGACTCATAGTGGACTAGAAAATGGGAAAACAAAGACCATGTTCAACAGTAGGGCCAGCTAATATCAGCTAATATCCCTCAGTGAGGGCCAGGGCGGATTCTCACAGTAGTGCACACAGGCAGAGGCAAGGCTTCACTGGCGGTTGAGGAGGGGCGGCAAAGGTTCCGCCTCCAACCCCTGAACGGCGAGAGCATCGTTCGCGGAAGAGCAAGGCATCGATCGCGCTCAGGGCATCACCCAATCCCTGTAGGATTGTGCCGGCCAAACGAGTCTTCACCCCGATGCTGAGGTTTTCGCCTGGCTGAGCCTGTTCAAAATCTCCTTCAATGCCCCAATTACGGCCGTGGCCTGCGCATCGGTCAGCCTTTCACCTCCATATTCTTGTGTTGAGGATGACTCAAATTCCTGCAACTGTAAACCAAATCCATACATTGCATTTCTGGCGGTCTCCCCCATGCAAACAAACACACATGATGGGTTTATCATCATTTTGTTTCCCAGTTATTGTTGGGAACACCTTTTCTTAAATCGCTGATTGAAATCCCAAATCCCCATTTATCATCTGCACAACCATCCTAAATATAGCTATAGTTGGCTATATACCCGCCCAAAATAGCCCACTAGTCCATTCCCAATCTATTCTAAGTCGATCCACATGAAATGATAACAGCACTGAATCAGCAACCAACCATAATTTCGATGTCTTCTACACCCAGAATTACCACTACCAGCTTGAATTTACCATTTAAAAGGAGGCGGATGCGGGGCAAAATTATAGCCATTGGAGGAATCTCACGGAAATCAGTAATCGATAGCTCCGCTTGCGACATTATCAAAAAGTGTGCTAAGATGTGCTGAGTAAAATGTAGCACTTTTCCTCCCAGACATGCCCATTCTCTCCAAGAAATCAAATGTCTCTGGAGCGCTGCCCAATGCTCCCAACAACTTCTGGGTGTGTGGCACCCCTGTTGCATCCGTTGAATCCCAGGTGTGTTGGCTACGGCTTTCAGTAATCCAAATTGTTATCTAAATCAATATTTTTGTCAGATACATCCCCAAACTCATCCCATATGTTCCTAGAATCATCCAACTTTTGAAAAAATCACCATGAAATCAAATCTTTCTTGGTGACATCTCCATATCTTATGTTAGTTCAATCCCCATATTCTTATTAGTTACAACTTAAATACTGGTTGGTGGTTTCAACCCCTCTGAAAAATATGAAAGTCAGTTGGGATGATTATTCCCAACTGAATGGAAAATAACATTCATGTTCCAAACCACCAACCAGAATATCTGAAAATTATCCATTTTTCATGGGCTCATATCTCCCTTTTGCTGGGTGAAATCAACATTTTTTTCTCACCTCTTGGCCCGTCCCAGATCTCGTTCCGGGGCACCGCCAGCTGCACGGCACGCAGCTCACGGGAGCCGGTTACGTGGCAATTGCGGTAGGAGGCCAACGCCTGCGGGGGGTCATGGTACAATGTGGTACCCCACAATGTGGTACAATGGGATATATATATATATAGAAGGAAATCCCCTATGAATATGGTTTTTAATGGGAAAATATACTACAATGATAGGGAAATTCACATTCAATATTGAGATATTAATAGTATTTAACCATCTAAAATGGCGATATAGTCGGATTATCATAGCTATACAATAAACAATATCAACAATGTGGGGCCCCCAAATGTTCTGTTTGTTGGTTTATAAATCCCATTAACTTTAGTTATAGGTATCATAAACCATAGTTATTAAAGTTATATTCACCAACTTAGCCATTGTAAACGGGGGCTACCATACACTAAACTATGTGGCACCACCCGGTTATAATTTGGTTTATAAACCATAGTAAGAATAGATATATCTAGCAAAAGGCCTAATTATTGGACTCCAGCACACACTTTTCTCAGCCATGCGCGTAGGTCTTGCAACCATGTCATCACAGACATGGCACCTTGAAACTTTTAGCCAACTTTGGCTTTCAATGACTCATGGCAGAGTCTGGCTCATGCATTTCACATGGCCTCCAAATGACTCATGGCAGAGTCTGGCTCATGCATTTCACATGGCCTCCAAAAGCTCATGGCAGAGCAACCAAAAATCCCATAAAGTTATAACATCCATGGCAGGATGGTTTCTCAACCTGTCACATCAAGCCAAAGAAGAAGTTTTCCTCTTGTTTCCGCTGCCCACATAAAGGGAGGGAAGGGCCGGGAGCCCAAAAGCTATACCAACAGCTGAGTAACGTTCACATGCTGTCATCCAACCAGTCGAAACGACTATTTTGGACTCCAGCATACACTTTTCTCAGCCATGCGCGTAGGTCTTGCAACCATGTCATCACAGACATGGCACCTTGAAACTTTTAGCCAACTTTGGCTTTCAATGACTCATGGCAGAGTCTGGCTCATGCATTTCACATGGCCTCCAAATGACTCATGGCAGAGTCTGGCTCATGCATTTCACATGGCCTCCAAAAGCTCATGGCAGAGCAACCAAAAATCCCATAAAGTTATAACATCCATGGCAGGATGGTTTCTCAACCTGTCACATCAAGCCAAAGAAGAAGTTTTCCTCTTGTTTCCACGCTTCCCACCATACGCATGGTGCTCGTTGACAAAGATCGACGACATTTCAGCGACCAAACGTTTTGAGGTCAAGGACATACGGAGAGAAGGAAGCATTGCTAAACCATCACATATGTAAATTCTGGCAATGTTTGAATTTTTCCATCTCCCTCGGATCAATGTCTTTTCCATTAATCCATGAGATTGCATCTCATAAGTGGCGCCTCCTCGCCTCAAGCTGTAAGGTCGTAACCCAAGCTCGGCGAGACCCAGCTGGGCTAAAATGTCCCGAAAAAGATTTCGGAAAGTAGTTCCACTGCGATTCCAACAGGGTACCTGTGTTAATTGCAGGCTAGTTTTGAGGGTCAACATTGCTGAAACAGTCTCCACTATAGAAGGATCTGTCAAGCTAACGCTCTCCCTGGTGTTCTGGCGTACACCACTTTTGCTGGAAGGGAGCGATACTAAGCCTCGACCCCCTTGTATAAGAAAGTCACAAGGTCGCACCTGCAAAAGTTCCCCGGTGCGGAGCAAGCAGTGGAACCCTAATAAAATCAAAGCTGCCATTGTCAGTTCGTCATGACGTAGACACCACCCAGCCATCGCTAAGGCTATGTCCTGCGTAATTGGAGGGGCACGACAGGGAACCTCATACTTTCGCCAGATCCCGTACAGTCTCCAGCTCTTCGGAAGTTTCCGGCGAGTGTATGGTTCAAAATGATGTATGCCCGAAAGAGCGTCCCCTACCAAGTGCAAAGGTGTGCCATCTTCGAACTCCTCTTGGATCCAAGCGGCAATGGCTTCATCCAGGGCCACTTCTGAATTCACTTGCTCAAGTGCAGGAGCAAGACGTGAAACTGCTGTGTAGTACCTTTCCAATGTGGCACTGGTGATACCGACATCCTCCAAGACAATGTTGTGTCTTGCTTTTTGACGGTCCTGTCTCGTGGCCTGACCCGGCCAGTAGTTACGATCTGCTGTCATGGTCAGTTGGATTCTCGGTGCTCTCCACGTGTGACACCACCAAATATATACCCCAGGCAAGGAGAAGAGCGGCCAGCTGGGATACCAAAGGTTTCAACATCCGTGAGGAAGAGCGCCCTTTCGAAATGATCGACATGGCGACATAGGAGTCACTAAGATGTACCACCCTGATGTTAACCTCCCGGAGATGTCTAATACGCCATTCCATGCTGTGAATCACACTGCGAAATTCCAAGCTGTTTATATGATCAGGACGTGACCACCTATAAGCAAAAACTTTTGACCATTTCCACCATGCTGCACATGAGCTCTGTCTAGGGTAGGCTTTGGGATTAACCAAAGCCCCAGTGGTGACCCGCACATCTGAACCTGTGTGGTTGACCCTCCTAAGCAAAGCCCTATGAAGCGAGTCAACACCATTCACTCCTGAGGGGTTCCCATAGCTGAGCCGCCTTTGCAATGGCACCATCACATGAATTGGACAAGCAAACCCAGGTGCCATCCCAGTCCGATTCCACAGCTGGTGGTAGGAACTCACAGACACCAATTTGTGACACAGCATTGCAGCTACGTAGCAAAACGAGAAACAATTGAAACTGTCACCAATAAGTGTTTTTCGCAAGTCCTCATAGTTTTGGGGGTCCCTTTTGATTTCACCAGCATTAAGGCAAACTTCCGTGTGCCCAAACCCCAAACCATGAAGCAGCTCTCTCTCTTCAGCTGTAATAAGGCGCCATTTCTCCCCCACCCAAATCAAAAAGCGCTCATCATATTGGTAGGGTGGGAACCTAAACTCGTCGGCCTCCCACCGCAATTTTCCCTCTCTGGAAACCCTGTTCAATCCTGCTGGTTTGGGTGGGGGCCTGATACGACGAATTGACTTCATACAAGTGGGTAAAATGGCACCTTCCCAAAAACCAGGCCACTCTGCGTTATCCCCCAACCACTGTTCCAAAAGGGGGTATTCATGAAGAAGAGAAACTTCAAACCATCGGGGTTTCTCCACAATTTCCACCCCGGCCATCTCATGAAAGCCCGCATTTGTCCAGCAAAAGCGCGGCCGGTGAATCGGCACTGAGTCACTAGAGTCCAGACGCCAGGGTTTGACACCCAGCGTGGCAGTGACTTCTGCCTCCGCTGACTCATCCATGCTGGCCACATTTTCTGCGGCAAACAACAGGGGGAATGAAAAACCATAGACCTGTCTGATGAGCTTGATTATGCGCACCATCTCCCAGAAGAGGCCACTTTGTTCGCCTTCCAGGTTCAAACGACCAAACTTAACCTTTGACAGGTCCACGCAAGGCCAGCCCCCCCATACATGGATTTCCTCAATCCCAGGATAGAGGTACCTCCATTGCTCAATGGTGGCTCGGTCAATGGACCTAACGTCCTTCTCGATACGCACGTGTGGCCAGCGCCTCGAGGTGACCCGATTAGCAGCTGCTGTCAATTCGTATGAGATGGCAACCATCGGCGTCACGCCCGCCAAGTCATAGCATCTGAAACAACATCCCACGCCATTGAAAAGGGAGAGCACCAGTACTGGGGCGCGTATCGCCTCCGCCAACCCATTCCGGTCAGCCGAGGCAAACTCTTCACCTGCAGGGGTCAACTCAGTGCTTTTCCCCACAGCTCCACCCGTAGATGAAGCATCACTTGCAGTCGTGGTAGATGAAATATCAGCCCGCAGATGAGTGTGCATAAGCAGGCAGCCCACGGCGCAATTCAATAGCTCCGACCTCACCTTGGCTTCGGCTGACTCACCTCCAACCTGCTTCGACACAAATGCCCAGGTGACGTCAAGAAAGGCCATGCAGGGCCTTCTAAATGCCATGCAGTGAACCCAACGTCCAGCTATCACCTGAACCCACTTGATTCTCAATCTTCTCTTTGAGATCACCACCAGTGTTGTTTGTATCAACCTCAGAAGCCTTTCCCTTGAAGGCCCCATTGTCCCTGCTTCGCCATCAAAGAAGGCCCCCAGCTCTTGAGCCTTTGGCTCATCAGCAACCTTCTTCTTGTCCGATGACAGCACCCCCACGCTTGCCCAGGCCTGCTCAAGCCTTTGATGGAAGTCACGGCCCATGGTGGCCAGCTCCCCCGGTTGTACCTTTGACATGGCACAAAAGTTGTCCAGGTATACATGGTACCAAGCTTTGTCACTGCCCACTGCCTGGTCTACGACACTGGTCAGCCAAGGCGGCAGTGGGGCTGTACGCCTCACTCGGTGAGAGGCTGGCAATCTCCCAATCACCGTCAGGCGCTCGGAAATTTCTTGCATCACCGCCACCGCCGACGACCAGCCCATGGGGATTACCGCGCAACATGGCCGGTACCAAGTGTCTGCAGAACCACCTATGAGGTCCCCTGAAAACCGAATATTAAAGGTCATCATGCGATGCCAACTTGATGGTATTCGAAAAAGATAAAAAGCAGAGGTCATGTCGCTTTGAAACAGCGAAAGCTGTTCATCCCCACTAAGAACCAGAGACAAGTATTGTGTCACAGATGGTAAATCTGAAGTACCCCCTTGAGCATGAGCGAAGCAAGAATTGCAAGGAATCAAGTTCATGATAATTGAACTTCCGATCCATCCTCCAACAGGGTTCCCTTGCCAACCGCAAACATGCCGCTAAGAACTTGTTGACCATTGACCTGTAAAACTTCTGAATCCGGTATCCAGTCACAAATCTTTCGTTTTACAAGCAGGGAAAATAGTTCCAGAGCCTCATCATCCTTAACATGTACTTTTGCCTGAAGTTTCGCCTTTTGGGGAATCTCACTCAACAAACTTTCTTCGGGATGTTCAAGAAACCACTTGGTATCTGCACTAACCAATGAAGTAGCATCAATAGAACCACCATGGCTTTCAGGGGGTAAAGCAGGCTGTGCCTGAGACAGTCTTAGGACCTGCATTTTGGGTACCTCTTCACCTGTGTAGGTCAAGTACCGCGACGCCAGCTCTTTTTCAGCGTCAGCGCTCGACCGAGGTAAGTCCAGGTCTTCTGGCAAGACCCTCTTGACACCTTCCCTAATGGCTCGCAAGGCTGATGCCTGAGCCGTCGATGGCCGCTCATCATGACCGACGCGGCCGTAGCCAGCGGTCGCATTGATTGCCAGAACGGACAAGGCCACCCAGATGTCTTCCATGGTGAAACCCGCAAAATGCGGCAAACAAAACTCTTCGATCCCAACCGCTCGGGCCCATCCGGCGAGCGTGGCGATCTTTGGTAAGGGCAGCGGTAAGAGGGCACGGCTCCTTTGGGCCAGCCCTCGGCGCATGGCTGTATTCTGAGTTGCCTTGCCCAGCACCATAGTTCGCAAGCCCGCAGCAACCTCCATCTCCGACTCCATTGAGGGGAAAATCAAAAGGGTCCACAAGATGGCGCGGCCAGTAGAATCAAAACTGACTCTCCGGCCAGCCAGCTGCTCAAAAAGATTCAAACCTTTCCCCAGATGGAGTGGCAACGGCCCGGCTCCTGCCAGCCTGTTTTCTAATTCATCAGTCTTTGCACTTGCAGGTGAAACCTCAACCCGGCTCCTCACTTCTTCGGTACTTCCTCTTGCGACTCCTTCCAAGCTTGCACATCTCCCTTCCGTGATCCTCCTCCGTCTTTTCCTTGGTTCCGTCCTTTCCCCCGGCCTCGGCCTTTTGGGTCTCCTTTCTTTCCTTTCTCCGTCCAGCCTCCCCCTTTTCCTTTGCCTGGCCCGCCCTGTGTCCATCGCCCTGGCGTCCACCCCTGGCTTTTCTGGATCAGTCGTCGGTGCTTGTGTGCTTGCAACATGGTTGCAACCGACGCTGATTGCACCGGCTCTAACGGGTACAACTCCAGCTGACCGGCGGTGGCCCACCCGCCTTCTGTCAGCGCGGTATGTACCGCGATAAAGCGGCCCGCCAGGGCGTCCGCCGTTTCCGGCAGACGGCCAGCCCTCAGCAGATCTATGGTCTGTGCCAGGCTGTAAAGCTCTCTCACCAGAGCATTGTTGGTCTGGTGGAAGGGTCTGATGAGAAGGGCAAAGTAGGTTCACACCTTGATGCCCGATGTCATTCCTGGCTGCGACCCTTCCGCCTCCAGGAGACTCCCCCTGTCCAACTGTTCCTGCGCGTGGCGGACCAGGAGCTCCATGACACTCCCTGGTTCCTTCAAGGCGCGTCGCCTCAAAGGGGGCTCGCAGCTGAGCTCGGACTCCGCTTCGCTTTGATCTCCACCTCGTCGTCCATCTCCCGAACTTGAACTGCTGCTTGAATCGCTGCTTCCAGGATCGGCTCCTCCTTCGGGATCTGGTTTGACAGGGTAGCCCCGGTCCCCCTGTCTCTTCTCTTCTCCTCCGTCGGATCTCTTCTTCTTTTTCTTTTTCTTCCCTTGGAGAAGCTCCACAAGGCGCTTCAAACCATCTCCTTTGTCTTTCTTGCGTTTCTTCTCTTTGCGAATACGCGCCTCTCTCTGGGAGGCCTGCACGGCTTGTGCCAGCAGCCTGGATGAGGCATCTTCTTTCAGGGCTAGGCTCTTCATCCAGCTCTTCGAACCATCGCCTCTTGGCGCCGCCGATGGGCCTAAGGCCAGCGGTGTCTGCAGGCGTGGGTTCAAAGAAGTCCCTGCCACCAATCGCCTCTCGTCCGCTGCAGAGGGTGTATTTCCTTGAGGATGCCCACCAGGCACAGTCTCTGCGGGTTTCCGGCGCGGACCTCCAGCCGTTCCACCCAATATTCGCTCGCGGGTATCCCTCAAGATCTTTCTCAGACCCTCTTTGTCGACTCCAGGTGGATCCTCGGGAGAGTATTCCTCCTCTGAACCTGCAACGTCTATAACACCCTCGACGTCGAGTTCCGCTGCTGCCTTCTTTTTCCTCAGGGCAGGTCTTCTCTCGTCTTTTGCCTCTCTCTTCTTTGTCGGTGCTTTCGGAGTAGCCCTCACTCGTTTTGAAGCGGCTTTGGCCTTTCTGAGAATCGCCTCCCCACCTTCGGAGAGGTAAGAAGCCGTAAAGTTGGCCACCGACCAGCACCTCACCTTCTGGACGTGCACATAATTTTGTGACTCCGCGGAGATGCAAGGGTCGTCTGGGCACAGGTGAACGTAGCCATCGGCCAAAATGCCAGCTACCTGCCTGAGCACTGTATTGCTGTCGGACCCCAACACATCTCCTGCCACTAGTAGCCCGCCAGCGGTGTCGCAGAGTGAAGTCCTGCGGACCAGCACGGCAAACCACCCCTCGTGGCCTACGCCAACCGAGCTTCCCTCGATTGCAGCTTCCAGCACAGACCCAACTTGGCCCGTAATGGTAGCCCAATGGGGCTGTCCTACCAAAACCTCTTCTCCTTCCTGAGCACCCAATTCCAGTATGCTCAAATCTTCTCCAACCTTTCTCTTTGGCGCCATTGCTCCTCTCAAAGATCGGTTGGGGCCCGATCCCAGAAGGTATCTGGCTGCCTGTGGTGGAACCTTTTAAAAGGATCCTGATGAGCACGGTATAAGCGTTGGTGCTTCTTACCAGCTCGATGGTTCCCCCGATTCTTCCTCTTCCTCTTTTTCTCAGGGTGTGGAACAGCTGCCTCGCCTCGTCGCGGCCGCGAACGACTCCTCTCTCTTCTCTCTCTGTCCTTGTGTCGAGAGCTCCTAGGACGCTTGTCGTGCTGAACAGAAGGGGCACGACGCCTGTCAGCCCACTTGCTCCTATCACCTTCTTCCTCACTCCTGCGGCGCGGAATCTCCGGCCGGGTGTCGACGTCAGGCCTTTCGGCTGCTGACTTGGGTGCTGCCTTCAGACCTGAGGTGTCCGGGTCCAGCTCAAACTCGCTCTCTTCCTCACCTGACTCCAGGTCGTACTCGCTCTGATTTTCCTCCTCGGGCTCGGTCTTTGCACCAGCCTCAGGGCGAGGCGGAGGCGGCGGTGGTGTGGGTGCACGTGAAACCTCGGACCCTTTGGATCGCTCTGGCTCCACAGCGTCACCACGCTGATGGCCCCGCTCAGGCACGGGAGGGGACAAAGCTCGGGCACGCCCAGCTCCTGCTAGTCCCAGGCGGCGCACGGCCCTGACCTGCCGGACGCAAGACACCAGCAGGTCAGTGGCCAGCGCCCTGGTCCCAGCAGTCCCCCAACCAGCCTTGAGCTCTATTTGCAGAGCGTCCAAGGCACAGCACCCCAAACACCACGAGTCTCCACCGTGTGGATCGGCTTGTCCACACTTATTACACCTAGAAGTCATACAACCTTAAGCCCAAAAGCTATACCAACAGCTGAGTAACGTTCACATGCTGTCATCCAACCAGTCGAAACGACTATTTTGGAGTTATTTGCACCAACTTAGCTATCTATGGGGCACCATTTTGTATGTCATGGTTTAAAATGGGTCTAAAGTTTGAACTGGAGAACCAACATTTTTTTTTGTGTATATCTAGAATAAGTGGAATATATAAATAGTTTCATAGAATCGCATACAGAATTCCAACTGGTTTGGATATATATATATATATTCAGGAAAAATTATATATACAGTTATACCTCAACATGAACAACCATACTAGACCAGGGTTTCTGGGTGGTGATACAAAGGGAAAGGGATTGTTCAACAAATAGGGGGGCTTTCTTCACCAGGAATCTATTGCTTGACCTCGCTGGTTAGTTTCAACAGGCCCAGACCCTTGCTACCACGCATAGACCGTGTTGATTTAGATAATAACTTGGTGTGTAAGCAGCAGCAACAATGAGTGCAGAAACATGAGGCATGATTGGATCCCCACGTTGGCCATGCCACGATGTATGGCAACAGATTAAGCCCGACTAACCCAACATTCACCAAGATTAACCCAGCCCATGGTACAAAATTGGACCCCAACATTTTAGCTAGGTGCTAGAATGCCACTTCCAACTATAGACAATATCCACCACAAACCCACTGGTAACACTGGTAAGCCTAGCTACCTACCATAATTTTTTCATATGCTGCCATATTGTACAGTTATGGCCCTTTACCAGTTATAAGTACTTAAACCCCATTTATAGATTGTATAAGCCCATTTATAACCAGTTATAACTAATATATAAATGGCCATAACTGTAGTATTCACTGCTTAACTCCGCTTTTGGCGGTAAAGATCATGAGATTGTGAAGATGATCAATGAATTTATGAGTGATATCCATTACTATTCACTAAGGACAATCCCAAGAATCTAAGGACAATCCCATCATATTCACTCTTATCATGTGGGCCCCCCCCAGTTATGTATGTGTTTTTTTAATAAACCCCGTTTCATAACTATAGTTATTTGCATATCATAAACCATATAGTTCTTGAAGTGATCTTGACCAACTTAGCTATCATGAGAATCAGCCATGGCTATCCCATGGAAATCCCCGCTTTCCTCGAGTTTTCCTATGATTTTTCCTATGGTCTGCTCCTATGGTGGCCCCTGAATCACGGCCCGATCAACTCAGCACCCGAGGCCCGGGCAGACTCGGCAGCGCTTACGGCTTGTCGTGCTGCGCCACCCTTCAGGAGAAGCCTCGGAGTTTTTCGGAACGTTTTTCTTCAGCGGTCACCGTGGTGGAAATATTGGGCACTCAGAAGGGAAATTTTGGGGGACTATTAAATCTATTAAGGACTATATGGGATTTTTGATAGGGACTAATATATGTGTCGTAGAAGCCATTCTTCCTGATTCACTTTCGAACGCAAGATGTGCGCTCTTTTTCTGAGGTGGCGTGTCCGCCAAGATCCATTTTCACTGGTGACTATTGACAAGGCAGCGGTGTTGTCTGTGTAGGAGATGGCCCTTGCAGTGGTGTCCAGGGCTTCCTCCATGAACATCCTGACGGCATCTCCTGCCAGCGCTCCTTCAAGCACCTCTACCAATTCGGCTTCCGCCGTTGAAGCAGTGACCACAGCTTGCTTTCCCGATTTCCAAAGCAGCATCGCAGTGCCCCACATGACCAGGTGACAACCCATACTGGTCTCAGTTCCAAAAGAGGCATCGGTATAGATGTTCAGCTGCTTCTCGTCAGGGGCATTACAAAACTGAAGTCCATGGTCTGCAGTCGCGGCCAAATAGCACCAGACATGTTTGGTGAGGTCCAAAACTTGTTGAGGATCTTTTGTAACCAAAGAGGCAAGTTTGGTAATGGTGAATGCTAGGTCCGGTCTGGTTCTGGTGGCAACCCAGACTAGTTCCCCCACCACACGCTGTGCTTCTCTGATTGTGGCAAGATCCCGATTTGGTGGTTCTTCTCGGGTTTCAGGTTCACTGATCATTTGTGGGACATTTAAAGGATCAAATAGGGGATAACATCGGCCCTGGGATGATACAGTATGTTGTGGAAAAAGTCTGTCAGCACACGGTATGCATAGTTTCCCGTGGTCATTCCTAGAAATGGGAAAACTTGATGGTCATACACCGCAATCCATTGGATTTGTTGAGGTGTGCTGGAAAGCATGAGCCGTTTTAGCCACAACAAGAGGGTTTTCACAAGCATCAAATGAGATTGTAATGGAATTCCTGTAATGTGGCATATAACCATCTTACCCAACCAACCTGGCTGGGCATGATGATTCCCAAATCAGAAATAAACAATTCTTGGAATGATTTCGATCAATAAATCATCTATGGTAAGCAAAAAATCTGAGGTTGCCAAGACCATTCCAATTCTGGTTGAATCTCCCCAGCAGTCATCCATGGTGAAGCCATTCTGTAGAGCTTGATCCGTCCACACTTCTAGGACCCTGGCCCCCCCATCATCAACTGTGCATTCGCTTCCATGATCAGGTCCTATGGCTAGGAAACGCAACATGGCAACGTGGCAACCGATCCTGTGGTTCGGATTCCATCCCCAAGCAGTGTAACAGTGTAGTATAGATAGTATAGTGGTTCACCCCAGAAAGATCCAAAGAGAAATGCTATTCACATTAAATATTGCAAATAGTGGTGACTACTTCTACCTTTTGGGGGTTCCTAAAGGGTTACTATATGACCACCTCATGTAGGCACCAAGTTGAACAGGTTCAATCGCTGAGGAGCCATTATCTGCACCATTTTTGGAAAGGATTAGAAGACCCGTCCAGCTGCAGATCTTGTTCATTTAGGTATGGCTCAAAAGGCTGGAGGATACAAATCGACCCGTTCTGTACTGTTATGTCTCATTTTATGAATAAATCCATGCAACTATAGTAACGTTTGATTGGGTTTCAGTCATTTTGATCCTCTTTACATTGCATTTGTTGAGCCCCTGCTCTAAGTTGGTTGATTTCCATAAACCCATCCAGCCGAATTATGAATCAACTTACGAGTTGGGGGGCCGTTCCATGTATAAACTTGGCATCGCAAAAATATGCGGATGACATGCCCACTTGCGAAGAATCAGGGGCTGCGGCGGTCCTCAGCTTTGCGCCAAAAAGAAGCTGAATCGTTGATGTACCTGGATTGCTTTGAATTTGTTCATCCTTTAGGTTTTATGGATCGGACTTACGTGGACTTATATTATGACTTCCTAACCACCAACAACGACAATGAGGAAGCAAGTCTCAACCATCATAATGAGGGTCACCAGAATGGGGTTGAATCCCCAGCGCAGTTGAAGCAACAAATTATGGGAAATGTGTGAAACACAATAGATATGCTAACTGGCACATATACAAACTAAAGAAACCAGTCCTACTATTCGTTAGTAACTGACAAAGACCAAAGACATGGGACAATTGGCAGGAAAAGGTGGTCAGATAAAAAAAACAAGATGAAGCCCACGAACCCGAATGCTCACACGTATGTTAACGGTGCAGATGTCAAAACACATGGTTATGCAGTCACGCACAATACCTTTCTGCAATAGTTTATTTGAACAGTCTTGTACATGTTTCCCTTGTTACCAGTCTGCAGTGTGGAGTGGAAAGTGTAGAGTGGGGAGTGTAGAGTGTGTAGAGTGTAGAATGCGGAGTGTAAAGTGTAGAGTGTGCAATATGGGTGTAAAGTGTAGAGTGTGGAGTGTGGAGTGTAGAGTGTGGAGTGAGGAGTGTAAAGTGCAAAGTGTGGAGTGTGGAGTGTAAAGTGAGGAGTGTAAAGTGTGGAGTGAGGAGTGTGGAGTGTAAAGTGAGGAGTGTAAAGTGTGGAGTGAGGAGTGTGGGGTGTAAAGTGAGGAGTGTAAAGTGTGGAGTGAGGAGTGCGGAGTTTGTAAATTGTAGAGTGTGAAGTGTAGAGTGTAAAGTGTAGAGTGTAAAGTGTAGAGTGTGGAGTTTAGAGTGTAGCGTCTGGAGTCTGGAGTGTGGAGTGGAAAGTGTAGAGTGTGGTGTGTAAAGTGTGGAGTGTAGAGTGTAAAGTGTGGAGTGTGGAGTGTGGAGTGTAAAGTGTAGACTGTGGAGTGTGGAGTGTAAAGTGTGGAGTGTAAATTGTGGAGTGTGGAGTGTAAAGTGTGGAGTGTAAAGTGTGGAGTGTAAAGTGTGGAGTGTGGAGTGTAAAGTGTGGAGTGTGGAGTGGAAAGTGTGGAGTGTGAAGTGTGGAATGTAAAGTGTGGAGTGAGGAGTGTAAAGTGTGGAGTGTGGAGTGAGGAGTGTAAAGTGTGGAGTGTGGAGTGTAAAGTGTGGAGTGAGGAGTGTAAAGTGTGGAGTGTGGAGTGTAAAGTGTGGAGTTTTAAGTGTGGTAAAGTGTGGAGTGTAGAGTGTAAAGTGTAGAGTGTGGAGTGTAGAGTGTAAAGCGACGAGTGTAAAGTGTGGAGTGAGGAGTGTAAAGTGTGGAGTGTAAAGTGTGGAGTGTGGAGTGGAAAGTGTGGAGTGGAAAGTGTGGAGTGTGAAGTGTGGAGTGTAAAGTAAGGAGTGTGTAGTGTAAAGTGTCGAGTGTGGAGTGTAAAGTGTAGAGTGTGGAGTGCGGAGTGTAAAGTGTAGAGTGAGGAGTGAGGAGTGGAAAGTGTAGAGTGTAGTGTAAAGTGTGGAATGTGGAGTGTAAAGTCTCAGATGAGGAGTGAGGAGTGTAAAGTGCAAAGTGTAAAGTGTGGAGTATAAAGTGTAGAGTGTGGAGTGTAAAGTGTAGAGTGTGGAGTGCGGAGCTTTCCCCATAGACAGAGATAAGACACGTGGGTGCAAAAAATAAACAGCGTTTCGCGCGAGACTTCCTCCATTGGAATGTCACAAAGTGCCACGCCTGCCACGCAAAACGGCATGACAACCTGCTTGGACACATTCGAATAGGAGATGTTTTCCAGCTTCCCCCATAGACACGACGACGCCACAGGAAAAACCAGAGACTCGAGACGAGACGCATGGCTGCAGAAAAACGAGCATTTCGTGCGAGACTTCCACTAATTTTGACATTTGCGAAACATCATCAAACAGGTTGGAATGTCACAAAGTGCCACGCCTGCCGCGCAAAACGACATGACAACCTGCTTGGACACATTCGAATAGGAGATGTTTTCCAGCTTCCCCCATAGACACGGCGACGCCACAGGAAAACCAGAGACTCGAGACGACACACGTGGGTGCAAAAAAAACGAGGATTTCGTGCGAGACTTCCTCCAATTTTGATCTTTTCGACACGTTATCAAACAGGTTGGAATGTCACAAAGTGCCACGCCTGCCACACAAAACGGCATGACAACCTGCTTGGACACATTCGAATAGGAGATGTTTTCCACCTTCCCCCATAGACACGGCGACGCCACAGGAAAACCAGCGACTCGAGACAAGACACGTGGATGCAGAAAAACCAGCATTTCGTACGAGATGTCCTCCAATTTTCACAGTTGGCAACATGACAAAAGGACAAGTTTTGCAGCTTCCCCCATAGACACGGCGAGGCCACAGGAAAACCAGAGACTCGAGACGAGACAGGTGGGAGCACCAAAACGAGCATTTCGTGCGAGACTTCCTCCAATTTTCACACTTTGTAGCTTCAAAATCGACGTTTTCCTACGAGTTTTCCTTAGAACCCGAAAATTTGCAACCTCAAAATCGATGTTTCGTGCGAGGCTTCCGTCAATTTTCAGCACATGTCACAAAATGCCACGCCTGCCACGGAATTTGCACCTTGTCACCACTTGACGCAGCCCTGCCAATGCGATTTACAAAAAACACGCAAAAGGACACGTCTAAAGTGCTGCGCCTGCCACGAAAAATGGCGATGGACACGCCCAAAGTGCTGCGCCTGCCACGAAAACTGCAACACATCTTCTGAAAACGTCGCAAAAGTATTGCGCCTGCCACGCGAAACGACTTTCGACACGTTGCAGAACACGTCTGAATGTCACGAAGTGCCACGCCTGCCACGCGAAACGAAGCAACCAGACGTCTGAAACCTCCAAAAAGAACCACCTCTGCAAAACTTCCCATAGGCACGGCCATACGGAGTTCGCGCGAACGGTTGCGAACGGTTGCGAACGGTTGCGAACGGTTGCGAACGGTTGCGCTCGCGAACGCAACGTCGAGCGAACACACCCTCAACCCCCAGACCCCCAGAGTGAAACGGGAACCCTTGCTACGCATTCGGGAAAAACAGCATTTCGTGCAAGACTTCCGCCAATTTTGATATTTTCCACATGTTATCAAACAGGTTGGAATGTCACAAAGTGCCATGCCTGCCACGCAAAACGACATGACAACCTGCTTGGAAACATTCGAAAAGGACACGTTTTCCAGCTTCCCCCATAGACACGGCGACGCCACAGGAAAACGAGACACTTGCGACAAGACACGTGGGTGCAGAAAAACCAGCATTTCCTACGAGACTTCCTCCAATTTTGAAATTTTGTGAACATCATCAAACAGGTTGGAATGTCAGAAAGTGCCACGTCTGCCACGCAAAACAACAACACAGCCTGCCTGGAAACATTCGAAAAGGACAGGTTTTCCAGCTTCCTCCATAGACACGGCGACGCCACAGGAAAACCAGCGACTCGAGACAAGACACGTGGATGCAGAAAAACCAGCATTTCGTACGAGATGTCCTCCAATTTTCACAGTTGGCAACATGACAAAAGGACAAGTTTTGCAGCTTCCCCCATAGACACGGCGAGGCCACAGGAAAACCAGAGACTCGAGACGAGACAGGTGGGAGCACCAAAACGACCATTTCGTGCGAGACTTCCTCCAATTTTCATACTTTGCAGCTCCAAAATCGACGTTTTCCTACGAGTTTTCCTTAGAACCTGAAAATTTGTAACCTCAAAATCGATGTTTCGTGCGAGGCATCCGTCAATTTTCAACACATGTGAGAAAATGCCACGCCTGCCACGGAATTTGCACCTTGTCACCACTTGACGCAGCCCTGCCAATGCGATTTGCAAAAAACACGCAACATGACACGTCGAAAGTGCTGCGCCTGCCACGAAAACTGCAACACATCTTCTGAAAACGTCGCAAAAGTATTGCGCCTGCCACGCAAAACGACTTTCGACACGTTCCAGAACACGTCTGAATGTCACGAAGTGCCACGCCTGCCACGCGAAACGAAGCAACGACACATCTGAAACCTCCAAAAAGGACCACCTCTGTAAAACTTCCCATAGGCACGGCCATACGGGGATCGCGCGAACGGTTGCGAACGGTTGCGAACGGTTGCGGACGGTTGCGACCACAAACGCAACGTCGAGCGAACACACCCTCAGCCCCAGAGTGAAACGGGAACCCTTGCTACGCATTCGGGAAAAACAACAACAACAATAACGGTCGGACGCCCTGTAACCGCGCGCCGGCAAGGGACAAAATCCCCATGGCACGGTGGCGTTCAGTGCCTTTTTCCACACGCCTGCCATTGTTTCGCAACTAGGTCCACAGCCACGCTTGATCTTTGTCCAAATCAAACATGTGGCGTGGATCATGGCCCAATTGGCCTGCTCGGTCCTGTATATCATATATATATATATATATCATATATATATATATCACATAGATACCATATATATATATATCATATGTATCAGAGATATCATATATATCAAAAACAACAAAGAGATCATATATACCATAGATATCATAGATAGCATATATATATAGATATATATATATATATCATATTTAACACATATATATACATGTGTATATATATAATATATCATAAACAAAGATATCATGTATACCAAAGATATCATAGATACCAAATATATCATATATAACACACATAAACCCAAAACCCTCAAAACCCCCCCAAAAAAAAACAAAGGACACGGACACGGTCCAAGCAGCACGGACAATAACAAAACCAGACGCGCCAGACAAAAAAAAAACGTCTTGGCGCAGAGAAAAAAAAACGCTTACAACCGTTAAAAAAAAAAGGGAAGGCGCGAAACGACAGCACACACACACACACGAACGCTATTATGCCCCCCCCACCCCACCCCCCCCACCCAAACCCCCCACCCCCCCCCCCGAAACCCACCCCCCCCCCAAAACCCCCCTCCCCAAACCCCCAAACCCCCACCCAGAAGAGCACCGCAAAAAATCCTGTATTTTCTGCGCAATTAAAAAGGGAAAAAACAGCAAAAAACAGAGGAAAAAGTAGGAAAAACATAATACGGTGCGCGGTAACAAAGGGTCCGAGGCAACAACAACAGGGTTGATTTTCTTCCCTGGATAAATCATGATAAATCCACAGGTGAAGGGTAGGTGAAATCCCCCGTCATGGGGATCATCATCACACATGGGGACCAAAATTTTGAATGAAACACTGAAAAATCACGGTGAAGATAATTTCAATTTAACTATGGTTTATGATACCTTTAACTAAAGTATTCATGGTGGTTTATGACACCTAAAACATCCTATAAGCTATGGTTTTTGAATGTTTATGTTACCTATCACTATAGTATTCATGGTGGTTTATGACACCTACAACATCCTATAACTATGGTTTTTTGAATGTTTGTGTTACCTATAACTATAGTATTCATGCTGTTTTTTCTGCAGCGGGAAGAAGCGCCACTCCTCCTCTCCAGGCACAGAAACTGGCAGATCTTTTCCTGGAAATTCCAGTCCAGGGTTGAGCTGCAAACCAAACCGCAAATTCGGAGGCCACGAAGATGCTGGGTCATAGATTGCAGATCGCAAGTTTTCTGAACTGAGTAGTTGAAACCTCCAGGGTCGGTTCAGGAGCCATTCTTCGACTTGCCAGGAAACTGCGACTGGGGCCAGCTGCTTGCAGCGCCAGTGGGTGTCCTGGATCCATGCCCTGATCCCATCCGATTTGGTTACCCGCTCACTTCCAAGCCTCCCCGGCTTGAGCGTGGGATTCCGCAAAAAAGCTGGCGGAACGTCCCTGTCTCCATAGATGCCGCCATGGCGGCTGAAGAGGACGCCGCCATGGCTGAATGTGTATGTGTATAAGTCGTGTATATGTATATATGTAGGGTGTTGTTTTTATGTATGCGTTGTGTGACTATGTGTGGCTATGCATCACTATGTATGACTATGTACGCAGGCACCGGGGAACGGTTTCGGTTGAGCTGGAGTCAATTTGGGGGTGACGATTGTTTCGGGGATTTGGGGGATATGTTGTTTGATGATTTTGATGGATACTCCCATGAATGTGGGTTTATTATACCTCTATATGTTTCCATTTCAATATATCCCTACTATGCTAGGTCCATATATACATGTGTATATATATATATATGTGTGTGTGTAACGTACATGTATATGCATATACCCCATTTATAGAATGTATAATCCATTGAAATAATCAGTTATAACATGTTATAACATGTGATAACATGTTATAACTAATAGCCATGGTTATCACTGCAGCACCTTTTCGAATGACCAGTTAACTGGCATCTCGACTCGAATGACCGTTGATATCGTTGATCTTATGCTGCAAAGATTGATCTGGCCTACCCCTAATGCTCCACGGTCCTCGCATATTTGCCAACATTTACCCCCTTTTTGTGACCCAGTTTTGTAGTTAAATATTCCATACATGGAGCATATGCATATCTTAAACTACCTTCAACTGACAGCCATGTACTAAACAGCATTGGCTTCAGACACATCTTGTTCCAAATATACAAAGATCAGTGTCTCGGCAGTGCGTCAGTCCTAGTGCGGCAATTGGTGCATCAGTGTATCAATGCTAGCACTGCAATCGGTGCATCGCGGCAGTCGGTGTATCAGTGTATCGCTGCGCACGTGGCAGTCGGTGTATCGGTGCGCGCGCGGCAATCGGTGTATCGGTGTATTTGCCAGAAAGGCAAATCGCTCGTTCGTGCCGTTGGCATGGCACGGCATGTTCTTGGTGAAAAAATACATCTTAGAGATTATCTACAGTTGTGGCAATTTATTAGTTATAACTGGTTATAAATTGGATTATATATACAATCTATAAATGGGGTTTTGTTAGTACTTATAACTGGTATTTCGGGCCATAACTGTTCTAAATGGTTCTAAATGGTTCGCTTATCTGGTTGGTGGTTGAGCCATAACAGTAGACTCCCCTAAAAACCAAACAGTACTCAGAACTTCTTGTGTGGCATCCAAACATCCATCAATTATTGAACATCTATCGACAGTGATCTACTAATCATAAGGATAATAATGATAGAAACAAATAAGAACTACAACGTGTCATAATATGTGGAACTATGTGGAACTAAAAAACAATAACTATAACTCAATGTATATTATATATAATTCTCTATAATAACCATTGTCCTCATGAGAAAATGATCCACTGCGAGATCTATGATTCTTCGTTGTACCCCCTTGTCGCCCGGTAATCCATGTTTAGGGGATGTCCCAGCCCACCATGTTTGATTACCGAAGGGCGGATCTTTTACCACCTATGGCCATGGCTAATGGTTATAACTGGTTATTTCAATGAGATTACACATTCCATAAATGGGGTTATAAGTATTTACTGGTTGGTGGTTTCAACCCCTCTAAAAAATATTAGTCAAATTAGTCAAATCGGACTATTGTTCCCAGTGCATGGAAAAATACAAACTGATCCAAACCACCAACCAGTTTATAACTGTAACCACCCGCCCCAACGTTCGGCACTGGAGTGATGCCGCTATCTCGCCCAGATTGCCTTGCGCGATGGCACAATGGTGCCTGGGTTGCTCGGCGACGGTGCTTTAGGTGCCACGTGGGCGAAAGGCGAAACAGGTGCCCCGTAGAGAAGTTGGTTTATTTAACTAATAACTCCCATAACTAGGGTTCTATAACTGCCATAATGCCATGTTTTACCATTTTTGATAGTACAGAGTGGTGCCCCAGAATTTTTGTCGCCAACTCATGTGGGAGTTAAAAAACAGCATAAATGGGGACTTACTGCTCTTACCTAGCAGACAGTTAGGATTTAACCAAGACATTTCCTGGTTGGTGATTGACCTACCCCTCTGAAAAATATGAAAGTCAGTTGGGATGATTATTCCCAATATATGGAAAAATAAAAAATGATCCAAACCACCAACCAGTTTCTGCTAATTTTCGGAGAGGAATATGGGGGAACCAACAAATGCGGCAGCTTTTGATGATTTTTGGCCCCTACAAGGGATTAGCAATTATGCATGAGAAACTAGAAACTACAAAGTGGTGCCCCATGGATAGCTAAGTTGGTTTATAACTTCAATAACTAGGGCTTGTGGTAGATATATCTATGGTTGATTGGAGAAGGAATGGACCAAACGTCCGAGCTTGAAAATTGTGGCAGCTGGGGTGTGCTTCGGCTACAGTTTTGTCAGGTCGCATGGTCAAACCGAGGTCTGCGGCCATGTCGGGCCAATGCATGGGACCCAATGGTCTCGATAGTCTGGCCAAGCAATTGTCTGGCGGCCCTTGACTCGGTTCAGGATGCGCCCTTCACTCCGACATCTCCTCCGGCTCTGGCACACGCCTTTGCCGCAGTTTGCAGGGGTGGCATGTTGGCGCACTAAGGCTGCTTGGCACCGAGCCGCCCGCAGGCGGCTCTTGTGGCGCCTCCAAAGAGCTCTGCCTATGTAGCCATTTGCCTCGTCCTGCGTTGATGGGGAGCCGCCTGTCCCTCAACATGTTCGCCTGTCTGGCTGAGCATGAGTGAGCTCTTTGAAACATCATTCTGGCATACATCTGACATGATTGAGAGTGATCATGCAGCTCTTGGCGCATGCGAAGCATAGAGCCATGCATCCGCCCGATCACATCGAGCACCTCGGTGGCCGGGAGAAGGTGAATCTCCAGCGCAGTATGAAACTGCAAAATTGCAGCCTGCCTGGCTGGTGCGCCCAGGAGCACCTGATATCCGATGAGCTGGGCAGCGTCTTGGACTTCTCCACATGGGGTCATAGACCAACTTATAACTGGTGGGGTACCACATTTTATCTAGCAGAACTACAATGTTCAATGTGGGATTGAATGGCAATGGTATACTTAGATAGGCCATGGGCTTAGCTAACTGGTTGACAGGTTGGTTATAAGCCATGATAACAATCTACAATGTGGGCCCCCCAACGGATAGCTAAGTTGGGGGCCACATCACTTCAACAACTATGGTTTATGATACCTATCAGAATCATAACTATAAAGAATTAATTATGAATTGGAAAATACACCAACAAACACAACTGGGGGGCCCCACACCAAATTTGTCTAAATTTGCTGGGACACTTCACTCGATGGAGATTTAAACAGCATTTTTGTTGATTTGACCAACAAAAATGGTGACTTACAGTAACCAAATTACTTTACTTCGCGTGATCCCCACCATGACACTTTTACGTTTTGTTACTGGCAAATCTTCTGGCATTCTATCTGACATATCTTCTGGCATTCGATCTGGCATATCTTCTGGCATTCTACCTGGCATATATTCTGGCATATGTTCTGGCATTCTATCTGGCATATCTTCTGGCATATCTTCTAACATCCTATCTGGCATTCTATCTGGCAAATCTTCTGGCATTCTATCTGGCAAACATTCTTGCACTTTATCTGGCATACCTTCTGGCATTCTATCTGGCATATCTTCTGGCATATCTTCTGGCATTTTATCTGGCATATCTTCTGGCATTCTATCTGGCATATCTTCTGGCATTCTATCTGGCATATCTTCTGGCATTCTACCTGGCATATCTTCTGGCATATCTTCTGGCATATCTTCTGACATTCTATCTGGCAAATCTTCTGGCGTTCTATCTGGCAAACATTCTGGCACTTTATCTGGCATACCTTCAGGCATTCTATCTGCTGGCATTCTATCTGGCATATCTTCTGGCATTTTATCTGGCATATCTTCTGGCATTCTATCTGACATTCTATCTGGCGTTCTATCTGGCATATCTTCTGGCATTCTATCTGGCCGTTGAGGTTTAGCGGTGCCCACTGAGCTCGGAAGGTCCCAGGTTGAGGTCCAGCGGTGCCCACTGCGCTCAGAACCTGGCGGTTGAGGTCCACCCGTGCACACTCAGATCGGAAGGTCCCAGGTTGAGGTCCAGCGGTGCCCACTGCGCTCAGAACCTGGCGGTTGAGGTCCAGCCGTGCCCACTCAGATCGGAAGCCGGCAGTTGAGGTCCAGCAGTGCCCACTGCGCGCGGAAGTTGGCGAAGAGATTGGCAAAGAGTTGGCAAGGCCGAAGCCGGCAGTTGAGGTCCAGCAGTGCCCACTGCGCGCGGAAGTTGACGAAGAGATTGGCGAAGAGTTGGCAAGGCGGAAGCCAGCAGTTGAGGTCCAGCAGTGCCCACTGCGCGGTGAAGTTGGCGAAGAGATTGGCGACGAGTTGGCAAGGCGGAAGTGGACGTGGAAGTTGATGCAGACATGGTCGAGGAGAAACTGGAGGAGGAAGAGGAGGGGGCGGAGGAGGAGGAGGAGGAGGAGGAGGAGGAGAACATCTCTGATAAAATCTAACAACCCTCACCTGGCAGGTGGGGAAATAGTGAATTGAACAGAAGAATATTGTATTTACCATCTGGTTATTTAACATAGCCACGGAAAATCACCATTTTCAATAGGTAAACCATCTATTTCTATGGGCCATTTTCCATGGCAGGGTAACCATGAAAAGTGAAGATTTGACCATAACAGCTGTTTATCCAGCAAAGATAGTGGTGAATCACCGGCGTTTAAGTGGTGGATTCTTAAGGGGAGATGGGAACGTGTGGGGATAGTACCCCATAGTTAGCCATAAGTTGGTAACTAGCTTAAGTAGGTCTAGAGGGAGTATCACTATGGAAGATTGAGGTCACCGAATTTTGCTTTTCCAAAGACCAATTTCGATTTTGGGCTGCCGGCCACAGACTTCCAAATCTATTCCATTCAAGAAGGTTTAGATGAACACTGACCGAAGGATTATTGATATGGTGGTCCATGTCCATGCTCCCCTTCATGACGCCGTGAGGTGCAAAGAGATGCGGGTCTACACAGAACTGTCCCCAACAAGAGCACCGGGTGGAGTGAGGTTTTGGTGCCCCATACTTAGCCAAAGTTGGTTTATAACTCTCTTAAGTATGCTTCAGTAGGTTTATGGTGAGTATCACTATCGATGGTTTGACCCACCAAATTGGTCTGTTTTGTTGGGGAAGCATTTTTGTGGATTCGCCTATTTAACGAACTAAACACATGGGCATCGCTGAACCTTGATTGGTGTGGTGTCTTGAGTTGTTTAAACCATATTGTGGGTAGACCATACCAACATTTCAAGGTTAGTGTACAATACTATCTGGATTTCACTGAACTGAATTAAGGCCATTTTGGGATGATTCTTCTTATAAACCATGATTCCAGTGAGGTCGCAGTGAGGTCGTTATAATTTACCCAGATAATACTATCTGTTTTTTGCAGGTTTACACAGCAACAAAACATCCTATCCAAGCATGAAAGGGTCTCCGTTTTCATCATCTCTGTCACCCGATTTCACAACCACTTGGGCCTGGTTTATACAATGTGAGGCTCATGTTTAGGATAGCTAAGTTGGGGGCCACATCACTTCAATAACTATGGTTTATGATATAACTAGTTAATGGGGTTTGTAAACCAACTTGTAGCTGGGGGGGGCCACATTGTACCACCAATCAGCTGATGGTGAACTGATGTATCTGGCATGTGAAACTAAAGTAGGCTACATACTTGATGGTGTAGATTGGTTCATGATCATTTTCCAAATGAACGTTGCCATTTTTGAGTATATCACATTTCCAGACACACCCAAATCAGATCAAGTTGGTTATATATCTCATTATATCCCCAGTGTTTGCTAGTTAAACCCACATTATTGTATAATGGGATAAACCACCATGATTATTAAGTAATATCAAACATGATCTCATATCATTGTTGTATATTTGTCCCAAATTTCCTGAGTTAAATCCTTATGTTTAGTTTCAATGCTTAAAACCACAATGGTTCATGGCTAAATCCACAATCAGTTGTATCAAGTCAGTCATATCCTTGTATCCCCGTTTCTACTGATTGTATCTCATGCTTAAAGCAGCATGGTTAAATCCCTTCCATAGCCCATTCCTATCTTCCTTCCAAGTTTCGAAGAGATGGCGCGACCACGCCTGCGTGGCCATGAAATGGAGCAGCCTTTTGAATCTAATAGGAAACAACATGTATACTTTGATGTTGTTTTGCCGAGAAAATTGGGGGAACTTCACAGGACAGCGACAACCACTTGAATTGTATTGAATTCACCCTATAGTAACTATTTTTCTCCACAAGTCACAGGAAAGATTGAGTTTCACCAAGAACTACGACTCACAACAACGAGGAATTTGTCCCCACAGAATTTTTGTCGCCAACTCATGTGGGAGTTAAAAAACAGCATAAATGGGGACTTACTGCTCTTACCTAGCAGACAGTTAGGATTTAACCAAGACATTTCCTGGTTGGTGATTGACCTACCCCTCTGAAAAATATGAAAGTCAGTTGGGATGATTATTCCCAATATATGGAAAAATAAAAAATGATCCAAACCACCAACCAGTTTCTGCTAATTTTCGGAGAGGAATATGGGGGAACCAACAAATGCGGCAGCTTTTGATGATTTTTGGCCCCTACAAGGGATTAGCAATTATGCATGAGAAACTAGAAACTACAAAGTGGTGCCCCATGGATAGCTAAGTTGGATTATAACTCCAATAACTAAGACTTATGGTAGATATATCTATGGTTGATGGGGTTATAAGTTATAAACCAACAAACATCACTGGTGGGGTACCAAAATTGTAGAGAAGTAAAATGTCTCAGCCACTGGTAATCATGGCAATACGACACGTATGTCTACATAATGGGAACAGCATCTACGTTTAAGAGACATGGGGAAGCTTTCCAGTTGCTTCACCTCCTGACTTCGGGAAAAAGTCAACAGAGATGCAGTCCGCATGTCAATGTAGATATAAATGTGTCTATAATATATATATATATAGATATATTATGTGAATGTATAACCACCCAATGGTCCGGTGAAACCTCCAACAACTGCGGATTAATAAGCTGGATTCAGGCTGGATGATCCAAACACATACAGCTGGTTAGTGGTATACCTACCCCTCTGAAAAATATGAGTTCGCCAGTTGGGGTGATGACATTCTCAACTGGATGGAAAAATAATCCAAATGTTCCAAACCACCACCCAGTTATTAATCTGGGTAAATTATAACGACCTCACTGTTCTCCCTCACTATAATCATAGTTAGTAGGGGAAATGATCCCCAAATGGCTTAAATTCAGGTTAGTGAATTATTATAATTTACCCAGATTAATGTATATATATATGTACACACATATCTATATATATATCACATTTATAAGTATTAGAACATACCCGAATATCCCATTAAAAACCAGTTATTAATGTATATTTATGTATATTATATATATGCCGGCAACACAATCCACCTATCAATGGCCATGCTGGCGAGTTCGCGCTTTCAAAAAACACCCGGCTGAGATCCCGCACGAATCATTGATTTGCTCATAGAGTTGTAGGGCCTGCCCACAAAAGCAGCAAAGAAACTGTACTTTCTGGGAAAATAAACATAGACATACATAGACCCTATAGAACTCAGCTATGTTTTGCATTTTTTCCACACAATTTGATTGTGTATTCATGTCATGTCGATTTCCGTGTGTTTGTTGCATGCTTGTTTCACATTTGGCAACATGGTCAGGGGACCATAGAACAGAGTACATAGCTCAAGGTTTTGAAGGATTTTATGGGTAAGATTAGATAACAAACAAATTGCATCAATTGCTATACATTTATTGGGTGTGTTCAAGATCTAGGAAGTGTACTAAAACATAATAATAGGCAAATCATAATAACAGAAAAACAGAAACTCATTGCCAAATCAGACAAAAGCCATACCCTCTGGCAATCAAAAATGTCAATGGGAAATCCCCGTTTACAAATGTTGTTTCCAGTAAAACCATTGTAAACCTCCCATCTCCATTTAATTCGGAGATTTACCAACGATGTTTGATTGCCAAATACATGGCAAAATCTTAGATACCCTGCAAATCCCTTGCAAACATAGATTCTTAGCTGGTTAGTAGATAATCCCGTTGATACCAAAAGACCAAAAGATTAAACTACCCTCTGGTTATTTAACATAGCCATGGTATAGATGGCCCATAAAAAATAAATGGTTTACCTATTAATAGCATGGGTGGATCTTTCCATGGCAAACTGTTAGTCATAACCAAATGGTAATTCCCAATAATTATCCCCATTGTTGTTGGTAAAATCCAATGTCATCAATCACCATGAAGGGAATCCTAATGTTAATGTTGTTGGTATTATATCCATTGGTTAAATAACCAAATGGTACCCATCTAAGATTGCTCTATAAGTGGCTGAATTCTATGGTTTATGATAGATATAACGAACTAGTATTCATGGGGGTTGTGTCATGGTTTATAAACCAACATTCACATCACTGGGGGGCCCCATCCTGTAGTATTTGCTGATGAGGTATGCGTGCCTGCGTCCCCAGCCGAAGAGCTTCTTTGTTGCAAGCTTTTTGATCCTCAGATCCAAGGGCATCCGGGGAAAACCTGGAGAAGGATACGTCTCGGATAAGTTTTACTATTTGGAGGTTTCCATAAATGGGGGTACCCCAATAGCTGGATGGTTTATAAGGGAAAATCCTACTAACATGGATGATTTGGGGGTACCCCCTATTTCAGGAAATCTCTATTTGGATTCTTTGTCTTCGCAAGTTCATGATGAACATGTATACAATGTAAACTCATTCAGCCGATGATCTTTCTTTTTACCATCTGGTTATTTAACATAGCCATGGAAAATCCCTTATAGATGGAAGTTTCTAGCTGGGAAAATCATCTACAGTATTTCTATGGGCCATCTATACCATGGCTATGTTAAATAACCAGAGGGTAAACTGAGCAAACCAAACAAAACATCTCCCACGAGATCTCAACTTTCGAGGAGTTTCAATCCGATCGCCCGTTTGCATCCCGAGGCCGGGCCCTTTGCTGGGATTCTTCCAACATGACCCAGATTTTCTACCCATCTACCCCCAAAAGACAAAGCAACAAGGACACAGCCAAGTACCTACTAGGTGGGGTCTCCTAGATAGCTAAGTTGGTGAACATAACTACGTCAACTATATGGGTCATTTACTGTAGGATACGCCGTAGGTGTATATTTTTTAGTTGATAAGTTCTGGGGGCACCACCTTGCATGACTCGAGCAAAGTCATCAGGTAAGTTTCCACTCAGTGGTTTCAGAGTTCATGAACCATTGTCCGTTGGAAAAGAACCTAGACGGCAGTTGCTATTCCTCATGTTGATTGCTTCAGACACCTCTACTGTTGGTTGGGGTAACATCACGCATTTGCCTTATCAGTGGTGCTGAACAATACACACTGACACAAATACAGTGCTGATGGATGGTTAATTATCAAATTGTTTGATTTTTTGGGGGGACCGAACATGTTGAACATCACAAATGTTTGAAGCACAAACAAACAAATGAGAGTATATGCATACAAATCTTTCCTTTAACAGATTCCCACATGGTCCCAAGACCTTTTGGACAAATATGCTTGACGTATCTTGATGTATTGTGATATAATTGCTATGATTCTTCCATCTAAATAGAAATGATCCTGAAGAAAAGGCCTTGATCCAGACGGAAAAAACACGTTTACCTTTCAAGTGACACAGTGGCAACGGCCCCCGTCAGAAAGCCAACCCTCGCCCAGTGTCCCCTTTGTACTTGATGAAGATTTTCGCCTCGACGCGGCGTTTCCAGGATGACACTTTGATTTTCTACAGTTATGGCCCGAAATCCCAATTATAAGTACTTATACGTAACCCCATTTATAGATTGTATAATCCCATTTATAACCAGTTACAACTAATAAATGGCCATAACTGTATGTTTCCCATATTTTTCAGATTTCCAACTGTTATATTTGTGACTCCGGGTTGCGTACCTAAAAAAGGCAATTTCGAGGTGGAACTTTTTTTGTATCTCTCCAAAGTCCACCGGTCACGTCATGTTTCCACCGTTTCGCGGTCGCGGTTTTCCTGTTGAACATGGAGGTATTCCAGCTACAAAGTGGTGCCCCAGTTCGATAGCTAAGTTGGTGCAAATAACTCCAATTTCACTAGGACTTATGGTAGGTATATCTATGGTTGATGGGGTTATAAAATAACTTATAACTGGGGGGTACCACATTGTAGCCATGTATGTTCACTGGAGGGTATGCAATTGCTGACCCTTGTTGTTCGGCAAATGACATGATGTTGCTATATATATATATATACATTGGTTGAGTACCCAGCATTTGTTTGGGATCATCGCCACAACTACTATTGAAGAAAATAAAATCTGAAACCACCAATAACCGGTTTTAGTTGATGAATATCTGCATTTGGGCTGATGATATTCCCAGTTCTTCTTTGCATTTTTCCCAATTTATGGGTTTGTCTGAAAATAGGGTGCCCCACGGATTTGTTTTATCAATGTATGGAGGTTTCCTCAAATGGTGGCACCCCCAAATCATCCAAGTCACTCGACCATGTTAGTATTGAAACCAATGGTTTTGGGGATCCCCCATTTCAAGATGCCACTAGACATATTTACCCTGTGGTAAACCAACATAACTATGGAAAATCACCATTTTTCATGGGAAAATCCACTATTTCTATGGCCATTTTCAATGTCGCAAACTGTTAGTCATTACCAGAGGCTACTACCATGAACGTGCTATCTATGGGGAATGCCATGGAAAAAAAAAATCACATCCACATGGCTGGTCTCCCAGCTCCACGGCTCCGAGACTCTGAGGACGAAACCGTCACTGCCAATGAGGAGGCTTGTAGACCTGCCATTTGTCGACTAGCGCAGGTCTAACCGTTTTCCCTCCATGGTTTGCTGGAATATCCCTCATTTACCCTCTGGTTATTTAACATAGCCATGGAAAATCACAATTTTTAATAGGTAAACCATCTATAAATGGACCATGTTCCATGGCCATGTTAAATAACCAGAAGGTAAGTCGATTAATCATAATTAATCCCTTCCCCCTGATGGCCTCAATAATCATTGAACACACCGACACACACAGAAACAATGCTTTAGTAGGCGATTTACACATCTCTGGGACCATAGAATAGGGGTGTTCAATACTAGGGGCATGGGATTATTTTCCCCTTTTAGCTCCAATGTCTGAGATTTCCCAGCCATGATTGATTACCAAAGGGTCATCGTTGATACCCTGCAATCATCTCTTGTCTGACAGATCAATGCATTTGCATCCTCTTTTGTTTACTATATCATCTTATACCCGGCTATATCCCTATGTCCCAGGCTCTTGGTTTCTGACAATTGACTACTGATGTTTGATGCTTAATTGTCCATCTGTTAAAATTGTTTTAATGATTTTAATGGAAATATCAGGAGATATCCCTTGCTTGGGTTGCTTATCTCTTTTGTCCCTTCCCAAATTGGAAGACATCCTTCATTCAGATACTGTAGAGACGTCAAGCGGCGGGTGGTTCGATTTACCTCCACATACCTCCACTACTGGCTTGTAGGTGTCCACTTGACACTAACCATTTGCCTAATTCGCATAGTCAAACACAACATATTTGCATGTATTTGTCATATCATGCTGGTTATATCTATGAATGTATATGTATATATATACGTATTTATACAATGTGGGGCTCTCCAGCTACAAGTTGGTTTATTAAACCCCGTTAACTATAGTCCAGAGTTATTGATGTTATAAACCAGCTTAGCTATCTAGGGACCCCACAGTACATATACACCCATGTGTCTTGGTTACTTCATCCGTTCTTTATTTGTTACATAGCCTCCCATCTCGGCGCCAGGTGTCCCTTTCAGAACCCCCTGAAATTCGAACCTTTATTGACCTTTTCACCTACAAGGCTAGGGGCCGCCGAACTAACGAAATCGTGTTCAGTTGGTGAACTAATCACTTCAATAACTATAGCTTATGATACCTATAACATCCTATAACTATAGTATTCGTGAGGGTTTTGTTAACCAACAAACATAACTGGGGGGCCCACATTGTATTCATTATGAATGATCAAAGGGAAGGGGGTCACTAAACGGCTCCACCTCGCCGCCATCCAAAGTTGGCTTGCCATCTGCTGCCGGAGTCTGCGCTTCTGGCGCTCGCCAGGATGGCTGTTGTTGCTGTGGACCCTCGCAGTGACAGGTCTGCATCGTCAACCGCCGGGACCCACGGATCTGCAGCACTTGGTCCATGGCTCAGATCTGTCAGCTGGTGGTACGGCATTGTACGGGTACAATGCCAATCAGTGTTAATAAATACATATCCCTCCCTGGTAATCAAACATGGCAACTGAAAGTCCACCCTTTATAGATGCCAATCCCATTTGCACCTCCAGTTATAACGGATTCTCTGTTACCACGTTTGTTAGCCAGAGGGTAAAATCCCCATCTCACACATAATCCCATTGCACAGGATGAGTTCAATCCCAGAGTTCAACCCGCCAGCCTGCATCAGCTTCATCAACGGACAAGCTTCGAGCTTGGCCGACCTCTGGTTGGAAACTAGGCTAGGTACATGTAGTTACCCCTTTTTCAAACTGGTTGGTCATTACTTCAACACTTCCAAAACTTGCCACTTGAGGGAAACCGCTCTACCTCATCTGGTTGGTGGTTTCAACCCCTCTGAAAAATATGAAAGTCAGTTGGGATGACTATTCCCAATATATAGAAAAATAAAAAAATGTTTGAAACCACCAACCAGCATGTGAGTGCTCCAAAGGCAGGGTGTAGCCGGAGGTCCATGGCTCCAGACAAAGCGTAGCGCTTCTTCTCGTTTCTTCTGGCCGCGCCTCACGTGGAGAATGATTAAGGCTGGTGGTGAAAAACATGTACAGTTTATGGGCTATAGACATTAGTTATAACAGGTTATTTCTATGGGATGAAAAAGCATAAACCATTATTATGGGGTTGTAATTAAGAACTGGTAACTCGGGATGTTTCAGGGTCCGAAGATTCTATTGGATTCTTGGGTATTGATCCATCGCAAATGGTTGTTCACTGAAAACCAAGATGGGGAGTCAACCAACTTATGCCTGGATTGATTTGGAGTTTCATTTCACAACATCAAGAAATGAAAGTGGCATTGCAATATTTGTTGTTTTTGTTTCATGTTTCTATTCATCAGTGTTTTAATGGTTCTATATTCATCATTATTTGCTGTTGTTGCTGCTGCTGTTGTTGTTTTTGTTTCATGTTTCTATTCATCATATCATGGTGCGTAGAGATCCCACGCTCAGAGGTGACATTGGCAAATGCAGATATGTTTTGGTGTTTACCAATTTTCTAGCCACCCCTAACCAATCTTATGGTTATTGTTACAATTCACTACACTTCATCCAAACATTTGTAGGGTTTCATGTCTTTTGGGTCGAAAGTTGACAGCCAGGGACCCACATCTTTTTTGGCCATCTGTAACCATTGCATTCATGGGTACGCAAGGTTGATCCATACGAACAGGGGGGGGGGTGATGGCTGTCGAACATCACCATGGTTTCAAAATGTTTCCAATAGCTTTGCAAATATTTGCAGTGTTTACCAAAATGGTCCCAACATGTCCTAACAAAAAGATACTGGCTTCAGCTCATATATATATATATATATGTATATATATGTACATACGTATGTGTATATATATATATATGTAAATAATAATAATTCACTAACCTGAATGAAGGCCATTTGGGGATGATTTCCCTTATTAACCATGATTCCAGAGAGGTCGCAGTGAGGTCGTTCTAATTTGCCCCAATATTTATATATGTATGTATGTATATATATATGCATATATATATATATGCATATATATATGTATATATATACATATGATATGCATATATATATATATAGTAATAGTAGTAGTAAGAATAGTAAAAATAAAAATAAATTAATCACCATCATACTCAGCATCAAAAAACATCATGAAAATAACAATAATAATAGTAATACTAATAACAACAATATATAATAATGATACAATATTATAGATATGTTTGAGTCAAAACCGTATTTCTCGCCAAACTCGTGGTCCAAAACCTGGCGACTTCCAACCCCAACGCTCAGCCTGTCGCTGTTCACGTCAGCCAGGGCCAAAAGAAGTCTTGCCTACCACAACCGATGGAGGCTGAAACCGATAATTTCTGGGGAACCAACAACATTAACATGATTGTAAATGTCATTCATATCCCCATGGTTGTTGGTACTATCCCTATAAAATCACCATCGGTTGGTGGTTTCAACCCCTCTGAAAAAATATGAAAGTCAGTTGGGATGATGAAAGAAAGTCCCAATATATGGAAAAATAAAAAAGGTTCCAAACCACCAACCAAATGATAATAATAATCATGGGAAGTAACGGTTGGTAATTGTGTTCAAACTTCACCCCCGACATTCGAAATCAATCAGCCAACATGGTGATGCAATCTATAAAAACGGAGTCTGTAAAATCATCCATTAATCTTCAGGTACAATCCCAGCAGTCAATGTACCAGGCACCCCCAAGGTGAAATCTGTGACATCAAAGAAACAAACAACTGGATGGGATCGAACTAGCAAGGGCGGTGTGTGGTGGAAAGAAAGAGAAGAATCGGTAACATAAAATGTAATTGAAACATATCTAACATCACTCAACATATACCATCCTGCAATCAAACCTGGCTTGCTTGAAAACCCTCCATTTAGTTCGATGATTTTCAGGGATATCCCAGCTAGCCACGTTTGATGACCCTGGTCAAGACTTGAGAGCACATGATGCCTATTCATTGCATCCCCAATCTGGTTGAAGGATAGTCACCCACTTGAAATGATGGCCGACTTCGGGGATGTTTCTCACATACAAGCTGTCACTCATGGCATTTTTGAGGATGTAAGCTTTTTAGTAGGTCATCATAGGTCATCCCGCTTAGTAGTGTTTGTAAGTGGCATAAATAGGGTTTATCACGTATAACTCGGGTTATAAACTATTGCCCAGCTGTAAATCCCATTAATTCTGCGTTTAACCGTCGTACCTCTGCCTCTCCTGCTGCCAAGCAGGCGCACTTCCCTATTTGTGAGCTTCTTGTCTGGGTTGTACGGTGACTCGTAGTCAGGCAGCGAGCCCAATGTGGCTCGCAGGGATGTATCCGAACAGTGCTGTTGTGTTTCCATCCGATGCTGCCGCTTGTCGAGGCTGGGACGCTCCATCGTGGCACAGGCCTGCAATTCAGTACACCAAGCTGTCTGGACTATTGGGCTTGCCACAGAGCTGGGCATCGCCTTGTCTCAAGACGGGTTTATGTGCTCGGAGGGGGACATGTTCTATGGGACTAACAGCAACAAGTGAGCAACACCATCAACCAACCATCATTTCTGGATGATAAAAACCATGTGTCATGTCTAAACTCCCCTTATTGTCGCCATGTTTGTTGCTAAAACCCAGTTTCCGTTACCAAACCCAACAAATTTGGTGCTTAATCCGCATTGATTTTGGTGAATTTCATTTAATTTCTATGTTTTAAGGATCACAGTATTTCTTGTTGTTTAAGATACATGTTTCATGGGGAACTCATCATTTTGTTCCTTAACCACCAACTATTAAATCAGATCTACAATATGTTTAAATCATACAATCCTCAAGTTGCAATTTTCTATGGCCAAATGCAATTTGTTTCAAGAAAACTCTCAGCTCTAAACCTACAATCACCGTTAAATCCCACTCATGTTTGGGTACAATCCCCATTACTCATGGTCAAATCCCTCTTCTTCATGGTTAAGTCCAGTTTTCATAGCCTTTCCCCCGGTACTTTGTGGTTAAATCATGGTCAAATCCAATGTTCCATTCCTAGGTCTTCAAAAGATGAAGAATTTCTGACCGACCCCTGGTGTTCTACTTTTTCTGGACGCGAATAAAGATAGGAACAAACGTTGATAGGAAGTCAATAAGTTTATCTACTTATTCTTTTTCTATCTTTTTCTGGACGCGAATTAACAAACGCTATGAACGAAGACCTACAATGTTGGGCAGCATTGCTGCAATGAATCCAAGGGAACCCAAGTGATTTGCACCAGCTCAGCAAATGTAAACGGGGGCTCCACTTTGTAGTTGGCTTGATGATCATATGCTACTCATATTCCCATCATTTAGTGCGTTGATTTACTTATTAAACGATGATTTTCCATAACAAGCAGTTAGTTTGCCATAAATCCCAATTTTCGCTGAGATCATGGTGAAGTTGGTGAAGTTTCCCTATTTTTCCCTTCAAAAATGGTGAAATCCCTAGCCATACCTAGCCACTGCCCTGGCGTCGTCCCGATTCTGGTGAAATCCACGAGCCAACGACCTGGGGCACCACCTGGGGCACCTTCAGAAATGGCAAAACATGGCATTATGGCAGGTATAGGTACCATATGGTACCATAAACCCGAGTGAATTGGAGGCCAACTTAGCGATTTCGTAAACGAGGGCACATTGTAGTCATACCTAGCCATACCTGGCCAAGTCCCCATGGTGAAGTCCCCGCTTTTTTCTGGTGAAATCCACCCATTTTTTCTCTTGGATCCCGGGTGTGCGATGGCTGTGAAGTCGACCAAGGTGTCGAGCCATGATGCGGTGTGCCCTGTTGGAGTCGCCAGCAAGGTCGGATTGTGAACCTTTCAGGAGGATCTTCGGCACCGGAAGCCACGATGGACGGTCGGTCATCGGATCGGAGACGGGTGATGAGGATGTGCTGCATTTGGGAGCTATCGCATCCCGACCACTCTGCGTCTGACGCACCACGTCATGCTTAAACGCTGTGTTTTTGCGGTTCGCAGTGGCCACTGCATGGAAGGGAAACGGCGGCACTGGCTCCCCTGCCTCGGCCGACTTGGACCCCGAGTTGGCGGAGGTCTGGAAGATGGCCAGCCTCGGTCGCGGTCGACTGCACCAAGCGGGAAAAACATGACGCGTTTTTAGTGTGGGGGTTGATTGGAGAATTTAGGTGGAAGCTTCGTGGATTTTGAGGTATGTTTAGATGATTTTTTAAATGGATCTATAATGGATTTTCATATATATATAATATTTAAATTAATTATATAATTTTGATGAAGTCTAAATGGATTTACATAGGAAGAAACAGATTAAACCAGAATTGTTATCGGGCATCAAAACTGTGTGGACGATTTGGCGCTTTTAAATGGACAATTCATAATCAATCGGACAACCATGTTCAATCAATTCAATTTGTGTTGGGCATGTTTTTCCCTACAAACATCTACAATGTGGTACCCCACCAGTTATGTTTGTTGGTTTATAACCCGAGAAAAACCATAGATATACCATACGTCCTAGTGAAATTGGAGTTATTTGCACCAACTTAGCTAACGACCTGGGGCACCACGTTGTATGGTAATTTAACATAGCTATTGAAAATCACCATTTGAAAAATTGGTAAATCAACTATAAATAGGCCATTTTCAGTAGCAAACAGTTAGTTTACCAGAGGGTAATTCCCAGTATTCGTTGAAAAAAAAAGGTATATACTGAGTTTTCCCAGTTTTTCATCACCATTGATGGCTGGCTGGCTTAGGCCGTCCATGACCTGTTGGATCCGCCGGAATACGAACCCTCTGGTAAACGAACTAAGATAACTATGGAAAATCCACCCATGCTTTTAATGGGAAAACTCACTATTTCTATGGCCATTTTCAATAGCTATCTTAGTTTACCAAAGGGCACTCATGTGTGTTGGAACATCAACCATTTTGAAGTTTGATGCTTTGAACCCAATGTTTATTGGGCAGACGTTCATTGTTCATTGAATAAATCACCACTTTTGCTGACTATAAGCCTATGATTCCTATGATGTTCCCAACTCCACCCTCAAATATGACCATATTTTCCCACTACATACATTCATCTAGCGTCATTCATTATCCCACAATTTCATTCTAACATGATATTCCCATGATATTCCCAATGTACAATGTGGGCCCCCCAGTTATGTATGTTTGTTTGTTTGTTTGTTTGTTTGCTTGTTTGTTTGTTTGTTTGTTCACAAGCCCCGTAAATACTATAGTTATAGGCTTTTGGTATCATAAACCAAAGTTATTGAAGTTATGTTCACCAATTTAGCTATCGTAAACGGGGGCCCCGCATTGTACCCAATATATTATTCAATTATAGATTATAATTGAAGGATTGATAAAACTATAATCCCGAATATATAAAGATTATAATATTCCCATTGCAAATATATTCCCTATATTTTTGTGGTCCATGTTCAACCCCGTTTTCCCCAGTTCCATGCACCCAGTTTTCCCCATATCCATGGAATTTCTCAGGACCCTAAAATGGAAGTTCTGTAGCATTAAAAGAAAAGGGTGCATATTCCCTTATATAGCCCTAGCCCTTACATAGGCCTTATACATGGTAGGGATTCTGATTTCACAATGTATGTCTATCTATATTCATATCTGTATCTATATCTACATGAACGTTTCTCCATTTTCATGGATATAAATCCATTAAATCCCGATATTTTCCCATATATTCCCAATAAAAGTCACCATGAAAATCAGGGTTTCGCTTCCGCCCAGTAACTCATCTTTCAGCAATCGATCCGCCTCTTTGCGGCGATCCTCCGTCGGCTCGTTGGCGCTGGAAAGCATATTCACTATAGATTCCCCAGTCCTGGTGGATTTTCCATTGGGAAAATAAAAAAAAAACCTTAAACAAACCCAGGCATTTTTAATAGGAAAATCAACTATAACTGGCAATGTTCAAAAGCTATGTTAGTCACTACCAGAGGGTAAGTGAATCAACTATTGCTATGGAAATCACCATCTTTAAAAACTGCAAATCAACTATTTCTATGGGCCATTTTCAAAAGCTATGTTAAATTACCAGAGGGTATAAGGGGGCCTTAATGGATTTTCAGCACCAAAATATGAAACAAAGGGTCAAGATAAAAACCCCAATGGTTGATAACCCAGATGGCCCAAATTGGGAAAAAAACAATGTATCTGACTGGAGAGATTCCCTATATGTAAAAAACAAGATATACTATGAAAAATTGGCAACATTCAGAGATGATAGGGGATCTTAATGGACTTTATCCAGCCCTGGTGTGGTTTCAAACCCAAAAAAATGATGGCTTCACCAAACAAACAAGATGGCTTTAGTGGGGTTTAACGGGGATGTGATGGGGATAACCATCAATCCAGCTATAAGCTGGTGCCCCATAGTTAGCTAAGTTTGTTTATAATTCCAATAACTAGAGTCTCTTGTAGATATATCTAACTAGTTGCTATGGTTTACAGGATATTCTGTGTATATATATACATATACATGTATACATATATGTATATGTACATATATATATGTATATGTACATATATATATATATGTACATATATATATGTATAAATGTATATATATATATATATATATACATATGTATATATATTAAAACACACACATATATATATATATATATAAATATGCATAAACATGTTTGACTACTGGGGCTGTTCAATATACAGTAACTTGGGTACTGTATTTCAAATAGACATGATTCACCAGGTCGCTTCCTCCTGTTGAGATACGGCATAACCTGAGGTGTCGTACGCAACCCTTTTTTACAGGACATGAAACGTTGTAGTCATCCATAGTTGTCCACTTATTTTTCCCCACCTGCCAGGTGAGGGTTGTTAGATTTTATCAGAGCTGTTCTCCTCCTCCTCCTCCTCCGCCTCCGCCTCCTCCGCCTCCACCTCCGCCTCCTCCGCCTCCTCACCCCAGATCCCAGTGGGCACAGCCGGACCTCCACCGCGAGCTCCAGATCCCAGTGGGCACTGCCGGACCTCAACCGCGAGTTGCAGATCGCAGTGGGCACTGCCGGACCTCAACCGCGACTTCCAGGTCGCAGTGGGCACTGCCGCGACTTCCAGATCGCAGTGGGCACTGCCGGACCTCAACCGCGACTTCCAGATCGCAGTGGGCACTGCCGGACCTCACCGGCCAGAATGTGAGAAAAGATGTCAGAAGATATGCCAGATAGAATGCCACAAAGAATGTCAGAAGATATGCCAGACAGAATGTCAGAAGATATGGCAGACAGAATGTCAGAAGATATGCCAGAAAGAATGTTCTGAATGCACAAGATATGCCAGAAAGAATATCAGAATATATGCCAGATAGAGTGCCAGAAAGAATGCAGAAGATATGCCAGATAGAGTGCCAGAAAGAATGTCAGAAGATATGCCAGATAGAATGCCAGAAAGAATGTCAGAAAGAATGTCAGAAAGAATGTCAGAAGATATGCCAGATAGAATGTCAGAAGATATGCTAGATATGCGAGGTAGATGGGGAGGTCGAGAGAAGATGTGCCAGATAGAATGTCGGAAAGAATGTCAGAAAGAATGTCAGGTTGCGTATTTAGATATTTCTTTCCAGAGCTGTGGAGTATGTAGCTATATATGCCATGGTGGGGATTATTCGAAGTGAAGTATTTTTTTCATGGCTGTAGTGAGTCTATATCCAATGCCTCAGTGTTGGTTCCGTACTAAAAGTCATAGACACCCTGCTTGTGCTGTCCCAACCACTTGCTCCTCATGGAAGCGTCAGCATCCGGGTCTTCCATCATATATGGACTGGAATGTTCTTGACGATAGATCTTCCAACCCTCATTGTCAAGACGAGCTACGGTTAAATATGATACCCTGGGGTAAACTAACATAGACATGGAACATGGCCCATTTATGGATGATTTCCCACTAAAACCTCCATTTATTTTGGGGATTTTCCATGGCTATGTTAATCATAACCAGATGGTAAGTCAGTTTTAGTATTACCAGGGCCCATAGGAATAGATGATTTACCCATTAAAGATTGTGATTTTCACTATAAATCCACTATAAATCACCATTTATAGATGGTTTACCTATGGAAAATGGCGACTTTCCACATCTATGTTAATCATAACCGGAGGGTAAACCACCAGTCTGGAGGTTTTTTTTCATTACCGCTAGCCACCTGGGCTGTTAAACAAATCGCTGTCCTACACGTGGCTGAAAGTGGATTTATCAAGTGATCATATCTGGTTGGTGGTTTTAACCATCTCGAAAAATATGAAAGTCAGTTGGGACCATTATTCCCAATATATGGAGAAATAAAACATGTTCCAAACCACCAATCAGTTATGTTAATCAAACGTGGCTGGCTGAAAATCCGCTAAACTAAATGGTTCAGTGCGTTTCGGGGAAATCATCGAACTAAATGGAGGAATCTCCAGCATGCCATGGCCATGGTTACTAAAGGCTAAAGGGGAATACCCTCTGGTAATTTAACATGGCTATAGAAAATCATCATTTTTAATAGGTAAACCATCTATAAATGGGCCATTTTCCATAGCTATCCAACAGCATATTGGGGCCCTGGTCATACTAAACATTACTTAAAATCACTGGTTCCCGAGGTCTGTAATTTTGATCCATACAATGTGGGGCCTCCGAACGTTTACGAAATCGCGTTCAGCTGGGGGCCACATCACTTCAATTTCACTATGGTTTATGAGACCTATAACTATAGTATTCATGGGGTTTATAAACCAACTCATAACATTTGGGAGCCCCACATTGTATGCATATCTAATAGATTATCATCCAATGATGATATATTGTTGAATATATAAAGACACCTATAGAGATACATGTATATATATATATTATATATACACACTGTTTAACTTGTACTGGTTGGTGGTTTCAACCCCTCTGAAACATATGAAAGTCAGTTGGGATGATGAAATTCCCAATAGATGGAAACATAATCCAAATGTTCCAAACCACCAACCAGACATTAATATTCCATTACCAGAGGGTTAATCACCATTACATCACCATTAATATCCCTATTAATATCACCATTAAAACTATACCAAGTGATCATATTATGATATATTGTTGAATATATTAAGACACCTATAGAGATTCATACACTGTTTAACTTATAACTGGGGGGGGCCCACATTGTACCCATCTCCCCTTGTTTATCGATGATCTCTGCCTGATGAATCATGGCGACGGACAGAAGCCGTGCAGCATCCGCCTGCCTGTTATGGCCACAGGTGACCCAGCCAGTCACCCGGCACGCAGCCAGTGGAAAGGACAAAACATGAGAGTTTACTATGGAAAATGGTGAGGTAAGTAGCAACAAATGTGGAAGTTAACTAGGACAAAGTGTTTCATGTGACTCTCAAACATGGGATTTAATCAATGGTCATTCCAGGATCCTAAAATGGAGGTACTGTACCATATAAGGCCATCTTCTGGGGGTATATCCCCTTACATAGGCCTTACATAGGCCTTATATATGGTAGGTACCTCCATTTTAGGTTCCTGAAATGGCTATTGATTTAACATGATTTAACCACTCAATCATTGGCAATGATCATGAGTCGATTGTGATATAAGCAGTTCCCATGGAGGCGCCGGGGATCAGCAACCGTTCAACGTTGGTAACAAGAATAATCACCGTTGGTAACAAGAATAATCACCATTTATCTACAGTTATAGCCAGTGATTAGTTATAACTGGTTATTTCTATGGGATTCCACATAAACATTAACTGAGCCATTAAAGTTATACACCGTTGTCCCATCTCATGAAATAGTGTACTAGATGGTTTTTCTCGGTGTCCCAATCCCATGGGTTATCATAATCCCCAGTGAAATAAGCAGTATCAGTATCTGTCCCTAGTTCTTAAGCAATCAACCAGGATATCGTTAATCATGGTGAATCTTTTCAAACCATAGGTAGTATAGGTCCCCATTTCACAACCAATCAACCTGGATTCTTTAATGGCTCAAATAGCTTATACTAAACCATAAAACACTGTCGTTTCGCGGTTTGTTTTCGTGGGGATATTTTCAATGGGAACCCTAAGTCTCTTTTTTCCATTAAATTTAGCTTTGGGCTAAATTTAATTAAATTGCAAAATTTAGTTTACTAAACTAGTAAATTGCCAACTAAAGTATTTTTTTGACAACCAAATAAAATGCATGTGTTTTTTTCTAAAAATGCATGTCTTTTGTTCTTTGGTTATTCTCTTGTGATTGAGGAAAGCACAACAAACAGAGTAAATCATTTCCAAAATGAACGTGAAAGACTTAGGATTTGGGCGCAAAAAGATTCACCCACAAGGTAAAAATAGTGCTGCCAATCTGCTGTTCAATACACATATTGATATGTACACCAAGGATCCTGCACAAGTAAGAATAAGCAAAGAAGGAAAACTACAGATATTTGATAGGATATGATATGGTTTGACACAAGTATCACACAATGGCTTTTTTTGCGACATCTTAGGTCACAAGTTGTTTGTTCATTCTCAAGTTTGTTTGTGAAGCTCAAGAACTGAAGGTGTTGAAACCAAAGAGGTATTCATCAGCTGAAAGTTTGAAGCACCAATGATGTTACGCTGAAAGGCTTAAACTATGTATAGTGCATAGTTGTTTTTGGCAATGAATGCCATGCAGTTGTGTCAAACAAGCTTTTGTGCCAAAGTTTGCTCTGTTATTTTCATCAAACAGAAGAAACTTTTCTATATTTGTGAAATGATGTGTATAACATTTGGTATGTATTATGTATGCATTTTAAATGCACTTTTTAAAAATGCATGCATTTTTGGCAAAAAAATGCATGCATTTTTATCAAAAAACGCATGCATTTTTGAAAAGTACATATAAAATGCATATAAATTTCAATTGTTCCTTATGTCTTTTTTAAATCAAAACCAACACATTTTTTTGGTTGTTTCTATGCTGACATTCTTGCATTGAATTTGTTTTCCTGGATAGGCTTTGCACACCATTGCAAGTAAACAATTGAAATTGAGGATTGCATATCCAAAAAGATATAGTTACTTGTGTTCACATCTAAATACTTTTTACTTGAGTCACATGTAAGCTCAGGTAACTACAACTAGTAGCAAGTAAACTCAAGTAACTACATCTTGTCTCAAGCATTCTGAAGTATGTACAGCTACTCACAAGTAAAAAACTACAGCTACAGCTAGTCGCGAGTAAAATAGTTCAGGTGGAGCACAGTCCCCAGCCTCAAATCATGTCTCTCTTCTGGTTAGTTTTTCAAATTCACAAAAACCACAAAAACATTTGCTGAGCATAAGCAATGAAAAATGCACAAACCATGTCAACTTTTAGAACAAAGTAACTAGTTTTTACACTGTCAAAATCTTACTTTGAAAATTTACTAGTACTACTAAATCAATTTACTAATACTACTAAATCAAATTACTAATGCTACTAAATCCCATTTACTTTACTATTTACTAGGGAATTTACGTAAATTTCGTCTAGTAAATCACGAAATTTACGTAAATTTCAAGTCTACTAAATTTAATAGAAAACGAGACTTAGGGAATGCAACAGGATCCGATTTATTGGAGGTACCTACCGTATATAAGGCCTATATAAGGGCTATGTATAAGGGAATATCCCCCTAAAATATGGCCTTATATGGTACAGTACCTCCATTTTAGGATCCTGGAATGGCCATTGAATATTTGTTGGTTTATAATTCGCCGGCTATTCACAAATCTCTTACCCCGTTCCGTATGACATATACGCCCCAGAGTCAGCATGGCAAAAAGTAGGGGATGAAACCGCATAGGGGGAGCCGTTCCCTTCTGCGTAGATATCCGCCAAAGTCGCGGTGAGGGGCCGCAGGAGCGCCATCTTGATGTCTATGTAGGATCCCCCTGCCTCGTGCAACCGGATATAGCGCCAGAGATCGGCGCGGTGACTGAACCGCTGCCAGGACTCGTATCTGCCCAGCAGGGGTTGCCCGCCGAAGCGCAGCACGTCGTCCCGGCAAACGGCGTCCGAGACAAAGGTCCGCGCTCAAAGCCGACTGCCTTCATGATCGGCTGCTCCTCAGTCGTGCTAGTGCAATGCCACGGTCTCGGTGCCTGCTTCCCTTCGACTCCTCTGCGGCAAGATGCTGGAGTATACTGGGACTTGTCGCTCCAGCTGCGAGCGGCGTCGGACCCCTGCTGCGCATACTGCCAATTCGCTTGTGTCGCGAAAAACAGTTCCTTACTGATGTTCCAGTGCCACCGTGAAAAAAACAGGAGCGCAGCAGACTGCAAGACCGCAAAAATAATTGCGAAAAAACTGAAAAAAGAAGCTTGGGCAAGGAAAGGTCCAAAGGACGACCAAAACGAGCACCAGAGAAACCAAAAGAAAAGCACAGTTTGAGCACCAGCCGAGCACAATTTGAGCACCAGCCGAGCACAATTTGAGCACCAGCCGAGCACAATTTGAGCACCAGCCGAGCACAATTTGAGCACCAGCCGAGCACAATTTGAGCACCAGCCGGGCACAATTTGAGCACCATCCGAGCACAATTTGAGCACCAGCCGAGCACAATTTGAGCACCAGCCGAGCACAATTTGAGCACCAGCCGAGCACAATTTGAGCACCAGCCGAGCACAATTTGAGCACCAGCCGAGCACAATTTGAGCACCAGCCGAGCACAATTTGAGCACCAGCCGAACACAATTTGAGCACCAGCCGAGCACAGTTTGAGCACCAGCCGAGCACAATTTGAGCACCAGCTGAGCACAAAAATTCGAAAAAGTCAATTGGTTTTAACTGCGCAGCCCCAGCCCCAGCGCCAGGCCCAGCCCCAGCCCCACCACTGCAGACACCAGCACCCCAGCCAAGCCCCAACCCCAGCCCCAGCCCCAGCACCAGCCCCAGCCAGCCCCAATCCCCCAGCCCTGCTAGTTTGGTGGGTGGTGGTTGTCGTGGTGGTAGTGGTGGTGCTGCTACTGCCGCTGCTGGTGGTGGTGGTGGTCGTAGTGGTGCTGTCGCTGGTGGTGGGGTGGTTGTTGTTATTGTTGCTAGTTGTCATTGCTAAGGTTGTCGTAGTTGCTAAGAATTGCTACGGTTTCCAGCGGAATGTTGGTGATAAGTTGGCCAGTTCCTAGCAAATCTGTAGCCGCCAGAGCCGAGAAGAGAGAAACAAGCCTGTGCAGCTTGATTCCTCCCGATTCACATGAAACATTTTGTTTCAACCATTTGATGATTTAGATATTAATGGTGGCTACCTGATCCGTTTTTTGATTTGGTATAGGAATTTATCCGTATCACATCACCAGATTAGACCCTTATTTTCTGCATTTGGCTGGTGCTCATTTTGTGCCCCTGGCTTGTGCTCACTGTTACTGCCCCGGGGGTAGATCAAACCTATACCTATAGTATTCATAGGCTTCTTTGTTAACCAACATTCACATCACTGGGGGGTCCCACATTGTTGGTATTGGATATTATATAGCTAGGATAGTCCCACTATATCCCCTTAGATGGTTAAATACTACCAGTAGTACCTCACAAGGCGGTGGCGGAAGTTTCAAAAATAGGAAACCTATAGGAGAGATTGGTTGTTGTGAATCACGGATGGCAGAGCGAATCCACTGATGGACCGAAAGGTGCTTCAGGTCTCCTCTCTTTCACTCTCTTTCTCTGACTATCTACCTACCTACCTATCTATCTTCTATGTATCTATCTATCTATCGATCTATCTCTCTCTCTCTCTCTCGTTCATCTAATTACCTTCTATCTATCTGTCTGTCTGTCTGTCTGTCTGTCTGTCTGTCTCTCTCTCTCTCTCTCATCTGTCTATTTGTCTATCTGTCTATCTGTCTAGCTGTCTATCTATCCATCTATCTATCTATCTATCTAGCTGTCTAGCTGTCTAGCTGTCTAGCTGTCTAGCTATCTATCTATCTATCTAGCTGTCTAGCTGTCTAGCTGTCTATCTATCTATCTATCTATCTGTCTAGCTGTCTAGCTGTCTACCTGTCTATCTGTCTAGCTATCTGTCTGTCTGTCTATCTGTCTACCTGTCTACCTGTCTACCTGTGGTGCACTGTCATTCAGTGTAGTGTAGTGTAGTGGAGCCTAGTGTAGTGTAGTGTAATTAGTGTAGTGTAGTGCGGCGTAGTGTAAATGTAGTATTGTAGTTGTACTTGCAGTTGTAGTCAGTGTAGTGTAGTGTAGTGGAATGTAGTGTAGTGTAGTGGAATGTAGTGTAGTGTAATGTAGTGTAGTGGAGTGCAGTGGAATGTCGTGTAGTGAAATGTACTGTAGTGTAGTATAGTGTAGTGTAGTTTAGTGTAGTGGAGTGTAGTGGAGTGTAGTTGTTGTAGTTGTAGTTGTAGTGTAGTGGAGTGTAGTGTAGTGTGATGTGGTGTAGTGGAAGGTAGTGTAGTGTAGTGTAATGTAGTGTAGTGTAGTGGAGTGTAGTGTAGTGTAATGTAGTGTAGTGTAATGTAGTGTGGAAGGTAGTGTAGTGTAATGTAGCGTAGTGTAGTGGGGTGTAGTGTAGTGTAATGCAGTGTAATGCATTGGAGTGTAGTGTAGTGTAGTGGTGGTTGTAGTTGAAAATGCTACAAAACCCTCACATTTTGCTCACTTTTGACAAGGTCCACAATCCCTTGCGCCTGCCACGCAAAACGACATCTGAACCTCCAAAAATGGTCCGTACATGGTGTGTTTTGTACATTTTGACTTGGAAATGTGCTTCGCGCCACAACGGCGTGCACTTTTTCGACATCTGAACCTCCAAAAATGGTCCGTACATGGTGTGTTTTGTACATTTTGACTTCGAAATGTGCTTCGCGCCACAACGGCGTGCACTTTTTCGACACTTTTTCCACATCGGAACCTCCAAAAGTGGTCCGAGACCGTCAGTTTTGTACATTTTGACTTGGAAATGTGCTTCGCGCCACAACGGCGTGCACTTTTTCGACATCGCAACTTCCAAAAGTCGTCCGACACTGAGGTGTTTTGTACATTTTGACTTCGAAATGTGCTTCGCGCCACAACGGCGTGCACTTTTTCGACATCTGAACTTCAAAAAGTGGTCCGAGAATGGTGTGTTTTGTGCATTTTGACTTGGAAATGTGCTTCGCGCCACAACGGCGTGCACTTTTTCGACATCGCAACTTCCAAAAGTGGTCCGAACCTGGTGTGTTTTGTACATTTTGACTTGGAAATGTGCTTCACGCCACAACGGCGTGCACTTTTTTGACATCTCAACTTCCAACAGTGGTCCGAGAATGGTGTGTTTTGTACATTTTCACTTGGAAATGTGCTTCGCGCCACAACGGCGTGCAATTTTTCATCTCTCCTCTGGCCAGCTGGCTCCGCACCCGCCGCTTTAGCGAGCCTACTTTTCGACCCTCCGGAGCCACAAATCATTGGAAAAAACACAGTGTTTCGCGACTTTCCTACCTTTTCGCGCATCTGTATCTTCTGTCTTCTTACTCTTTCTCTTCTGATCTTCTCTCTTCTAATCTTTCTCTTCTCTCTGCCTCTGCCCTACTCTGCTTTTCATCTGTCCATATTGTCGGAAGTTTGACTTCTAAACTTCCTTCGATTAATTACACTATTCATATTTATTGCTGGGGAACCCACATTGTATGTGTGGCCAAATTTCCTGCCAAAAAGTCCCGATCGTGAGGATTCAAGCCAAGCAACATCGGTTGCAACCCCCGCAAACATGCGCAAAGCCGCAAAACATAGGGTTTGCCGTTAGAAACCTCTGGTCATTTGTGACATAGCTATTGAAGCCATGACCCATAGAAATAGTTGATAAAAACCAACATATATTTGATGGTTTTCATAGACGTCCTGATCGAAAGAATTCCAAAGGCACCCGCGTGTGTCTCCAAACTGTCGAAAGGCACTCAGAGACCTCGCAGCGCAGCGCAGCCGTTTTTTAAACTGTCCCGTGCTACCGTGAGGATGCAGGAAAAATGATGATTTTTTCGTGGTAAGTAGCCAAGAAAACTAAGAATTCTTCACCAACAGATATAACATATTATATGATACAGAGATGCAAAATGATTGCACCAAACTCAATGGGGATTAAACACATTGAGTAACAAGCATGGATAAATATGTCAATTTCAGCTGATTTATCGACATCTGGAGATAGTTTTCATGGAAACTGGAAATCACCGTTCCTTCGAGAGGGCGGTGGCTCGATATGGTTCGTATTGGTTGATCAAGGATGCGATTCGGAACTATACTTTTGACTTTTGAAACAGAACCCACATGTTAACACCTCGGTTTTGGTATCTGATGATATTATATGATACTAGTGTCGGTCTGTGAAACTGATCCATTCACACCATTCAGAAGAATAAAGCTAGAATGTGGGCCCCCCGGGGTATAAGTTGGTTTATAAACCCCATTAATGATAGTGATAGGTATCATGAACCATAGTTGCTCTTCGATACCCTTAAAGGCTTCTTTCCTGTTGAGATATCAAACTACCGTTGGGATTTACCACATTCTTCCCATGTTGAGATGGGTCTGAAGATTGGGTACACCTCAGTTTATGGCGATCTCACGCGGAAAATATCGGAAAATGATGATGGGTGAATCGTCACTTTCCCTGCTCAAATCGCCATTTGGTTCTCATTTTCCCTGCTTTCAGACACACCCAGATTATATAAAGGTGGTTATATATATACACAGATACAATCATATACACCATTTTTTCCTACTTAAATCCACACTATGGATGCTTAAATCGCCATTTTTTATATATTATATATAATGTTATATAACACGTTGGCTCTGTTGACCCTGGGCCAGTTCTTATCCCTCTTTATCTCCATCCATGCGATGATCTTCCACCTGCCGCGACACAATGATATCAGCTTAACACCATGCCCTAGGGATCCAAATGCGTTGACAGACCTCGAAATGCCCAAATCACTTCGTCGGAAGGTACTGATCGATCCGTCCATCGGTTTACCTAGTGATATCCGTTGTTCAAAACTTGGAGGATCATCCCACGGAATAGCTGGTGAGTCCAACAATAAACCACTCTACATGGAATAAACCTAGGACCTACAGTAGGGACTTGCTATAGGTAGGGTTATCAACCACTAAGTGGGATGATCCTCCACGTGGAGGTACCTTTCCCATTTGTGGGAAAACCTTCGGAAAAAATGCCTACAACGTCTATGAAGTATAATGGAGGATAACCATGTGTTGGATTTGTGTTGGATGGAATAAACCATGCACCTTATTTGCCATGCGCATATATATATATAGTTTTGGAAGACCATCCCACTTAAGAAGTGGTTATAAAAATGGTCCTTACATGTTAAATTATTGACCACTTACGAGCCGTGGGATGATTATCCAAATACGCTCCATCATGGGCTCCGGACTGTTCTGCTAATCTGACAGCTTCCGAGAAATTCTCCAGTTTCAAGGAGCCTTCCTGGCCACCGTAGTTACTTGTGGCGACCACCAGGGGCGCGGTGGTGCAAAATATTGTAGCCTAGCCACAGAACAATTATTATTTTTTTCTAAAACACAGCAAATTTCCATCGGCAAAGGTTCACCAAACAGAGAAACCACCATTTTGGCAAGTTTTTGTCCTAAATCATTTCGGACAATCATCCTGAAATGCGACACCCTATATCCCAATTTTTTGGGATTGGACATATACCCATCGATGACACCAAGTGTACCCAGGATCCCAAGTCCACACCATCATTCGACAAAAGTGGGATGCATTGCATCTGCCCCCACATGATCCACAATTTGTTTCCCTCTTTTTTCGTAGAGTTGGGGTGTTAACACCAATGAAGTCGTATGATCACCAAAAACAACACATGTGCAGGGTTTTGGGCAATGTTACACACGGTCTTTTTCCGATGGAAACGCGTGCGAAACAAAAACTAACATTTTTTTGTCGCGAAGACTGGAAAATACGTAGATATGATCTAGCACTCCCAACTGCACCCTCAAGTAGGTTATATTTCCCAGAAAAATCAATTCTATCACCATTTTGTTGGGTTAAAATTAAATATCATCAGTATGAAATCCCATTAAAAAATCCCATACAATGTGATAAAGTGCGATTAAATCGATTAAATCGCCCATCAGCATGGCCCGGCTAGCCACTTTTGCCCCTGGGCCCTTGAGGCCCCAGGCTGACTGCAGTAGAAGCCGGCTAGCTTCAAGGCTGGGCCGCCGGTCTGGTGACGATGCGGTCCGCGCGGTCTTTGTTGTGGCAAGGAAAAATTGAAGTAAAAACCACGACAAAACATGATCTCGCCATGAGAACATTGTTTCTAACTATTTTATCTTGACTAGTTCAAATAGTTTATGTTGCTTCTTACATGGATTAAAACCAGCATTAAGCAGCAATACTAGAGATTTCATGGGGATATACCCCGAATAATGATGAATATGGATGGTTCTTTTGCGATCAATCTTTCCGTGTGACTTAACAATGACTTGGCAATGAAAATTGAGTTTTGCCAAAAACAAGATTGTTATTTTCTACCACTACTTTCACTAGCAAAGTTGGTTGAAACATCTTGCCTAACGGGTTGGTTTGGGGATGAAAGATATAATTCGATGGCTTAAAAAAAAACAAAAACGGGCACCACCTTGTGGGGGGCAAGAGCAAACACATGCGCGCTGCTTGAAGCCCCAGCTTAAGAATGATTGCACCCAGCAACCAAATTTTCCTGGCCAAACAAACAATGCTGATTTTATGCTGCCAATTTCTTTTGTCCTGAAACTGGAGGGTTGAATACAAAGACCCGCAAGGGCAACAACATTGAGCCCCAACCGCAAGGAAACATTGTTGCCGCCGTTGCTCCCAAACGCCGCTAGCCATCCGGTTTCGGCCCCAGCTGCCGCGCTCCGACCCTGCAACTGCCTTGCACACAGCAGAAAAATATCAGAGCTTGAGTAGCTGAAAGCGAACATCTTGCCTTGGGAACACGAGACGCGATGGCCTGTCGCAAATTCTTTACCTTTCAGCGTGCGCATTGCGACAGCTCTTGAGCAAACACCATGCACTGACGACGTTGCGTCCTGCACGTAATCTTCCGTGTTGCTCCGCTTCCGTGTTGTTATGGCCTCCTTGAAGGTGCATTGCTAAATACGCGTCTGTATAAATATGTATAAATATATATATATATGACATATATACATATGTATATATATATGTATATATAAAATATATGTATATACATATGTATATATATATGTATATAAATGTATATCTATATATATGTGTATATATATATGACTATATATATGACTATATATATATATGATTCATATATATATATATATACATATGTATATATATGTATATATATATGTATATATATGTATATATATATGTATATATATATATGTATATGCATATATGTATTTGTATATATATATATACACGGCAACTGCGGTATAACCCACATATCACATCATATCACTGCGTGATGATATGGCTATGATCCACTTTTTGGGATGCACTTCAAAACATGTTGAAGCATGAAACAAATCTTGATTTGGAGCCCTGCCTTTTCTTTGAAGCGCGCAAATGCGTTTTATTTTTTGTGTCGGTGGTTTTAAACACACTATTTACACCACAAAGTTGGTATTTCTTGATCCATGCAGCGTTTAGGACAATAAGCCTGCAGTGAAAAACTGGCTATACATGGGCTTATACATTCTATAAATGAGCCATTCTGAAAACCTTCAGTCACTCCCTATGTCGTATCATTTTGGGTACACCAAAGCTTACGCCATGCATACGCGCGTAGAGTTTTTCCTTACGCGAAGCAAACTGAGGAAACCCTTACGCAAAGTCCTTACGTGGCCTTACGCAAGTGAGGGTTTTGCTTACGCCAAACACGTTAAGACAAGGTCCTTACTGAAAATGTAAAGGGAGGTTTCTAGAGCGGCTCAAATGGAGTTATAAGTACTTCTAATTAACTGGTGGCCATAACTGTGGTATCCTGTTTAAAAAAAAATCGAAACCAACCAAATCGGGGAAATGAAAGCAACACATAATGCAAGTAACAAAGATATGGACAAACAAATCTATCTATATATCATATAAATAAATATATATATATATATATTCATATATCATAAATATATATATATATTCATATATCATATATATATATATACATACATGTGTATATATATACACATGTGTATATATATAATATATAATATAAAGTGACTAAGATTGCGTGGCTAGATAAAGTGGTGTTGACACAATACAAAAATGGGGTGGGTACAGTGTAGATAAAAACTGACCCGCGGAACGATGGGTCCAACACCTGAGGATTTCCATCAGCAAAGTGGTGCAGAAAAATTCGGGCGGTTACCTTTGGTACCGGGGTACCCTTTGATCTGTCGAAAATACATCATTATATGATGCAATTTTGCCAAAACAAAATGGGAGATACGGAAAATATTGGTTGACCGGAGTTGACCGTACTAGCTAGCTTCAGAAAAATAATTAACTGGTTTCAACCTCTTGGAAAGCACATGGTGCGCAGAAGATTCCAAAGACAAATTCACCTCACAAAACAGTTGGCAATGATGCAACAACTTAACCTCTGATTAGCATGCGCATCTTACTGGTTGGTCTTTGAAACACGGTTCCTTTTTTGCTGCTGTTATCCGCAACTGTCCTCGGGCTCAAAACAACTCTTCGAGGCTCTACCAAAGCATGGCCAGCTTCGAATGCCCCGCTAAAAGTGTGTGATCAGCAACTCAAAAGAGAAAGTTCGCAAAGGAAAAACAACAACTAATCCCATCCCCTATTACACACCAAACCAAACCCTGCTCAGCTATTGGATTGACTCATTTTGGGCCATATGTCTTTTACTATTATTTGGGGGAGGATTTTTCACCTATCACTGTAGTGAAGTCCCTACTTCTGATGGTTGCATCCCATTAATTAAAATCCTATGAAACTGTGATTCCCACTATATTCCCAGTAAGTCCATGTATAATTTTTTCAGAAATATCCGGCCGTTTATGCCTGTTTGTTCGGCTCGCCGTTCTCTCGTTGAGGCCACAAATTACATCAGGCCGGGAATTTCCACCAGTATTGGTCGAAGGCCGAAGGTGACATCTACTGGAAAGCCTTGCATTTGGAGGCTCCAAGCATAGTTTCTTGCAGAGATTCTTTCAAGCCAGCTCAATGATTTGTTGGGCACGACAAAAACTCCTCGACATGGTGTTCATCATGGAAACAACAGTTCTTTCCAGGATTTCCGTGTGTTGCTTTTAAACACTGTTCGGTCGTGTTGCTAGTTTCGTGCAATTTTTCATCTCGGATGCATCATCAAATATTATCCATCAATGGATCAATAATAATTGATGATCCAAAATAACTGGACATAATCAACAATTCCTTTCTAAGCTATATAAGTAATTGGAACGTCACAGCTGTATCGACTATCCCTACCTTTTTCTCTCATAGAAGCTGCTGCACAGCAAGGCCAGCCATCCAGGCCCTGAGTGCTCACCAGTTACCTCTATCTCCATGTGACGTGACATCAGTTAGTGTTACATCTGTACACCAAACGATCTGAGCATCTTGATCTATATGTCAATGTGTGTGCTAGTGCGTGTGAACGTTATGCACCCCCACCCTACCTCACCCCACCCCGCCTATGTCAACTGTGGGTGCTAGTTCGTATTAAAGTCAGTACACCCCGCCACACTATCCAAAATGTAGCAAAACACATAAGAATGTCATGAAATGTCATGAAGATTACAAAAAAAAAACGCTAGCGTGGTATTCCACCAGCAAACGCAAGAGAATAACGTACGTGCTTATCAATTGGAATCATCCCAGGTAGGGACGACAAGCCGATTTTGTTTCAACCGTGGTCCCAAAGATGGGCGCAATCATTACTGTTTTAGGGGCTAGGGTTAATGGATGTTAATGGTGGGTGTACCCACAGTTAGATGGGGTTGTAAATCAACTTCTGGTTTGGTGGTTGAGCCCTACCCCTCTGAAAAATATGAGTCAATTGGGATGATGATTATTCCCAATATGATGGGAAAAAATGATCCATTCATGTTCCAAAGCACCAACCAGTTATGATCCTCAGTGCTGTTGGCTATATCACCAGCATTTGAAACACCCAAAACTTGTGTTTTCCCAAAATGGCGGCCCTACTTTCACCATTGCTCCTCCTTCCTACTGCTGTTGCACAAACAATCCACAACGAGCTGGCTATGATTCAAATTTGGGGACCATTATTAACAATTATTAACCATCATTAACCATCGTTTTGGACCCACACTGGGCCCACATATCTTTCAATATACGAAATCATGATTTTTTGGGAGCTGGTGATTTTGGGATCCCTATCCGATAGATGTCCGACAAACCCACTGGTTTATTGAATACAAGGAGAATACGTCCAAATACACGAGATACCGAAAATTAAATCGACTTCAAATGAAGAACATCACCATTTTCCATCATTTTCCTAGATCAATCCCATGCTTTCTGGTTTTGTCGCCGCCCACCTGCGGTGCCTGTGCCATAGGGCCTCTAGCTGTAGGCATCCACAATTTGGGTGTGGCATCATGTGGCATGTGGCAATGGCTTGTAAATGTTGCAACAAATAAGTGTTGAAATATGTCCATCAGGAAGATGATGGAAACTAATGTCAACCCCGGATTAATAAACCATGGTTTATCAATTTAGGGGGGTATTGCCCCAATAGTCGTGATTTGATACTTTTTTATGGTGCCTTCCCAATTAAATAGCCGTTTGGGGTTTATTCATCCAGGGTTGACATTACTATCTTAAACTGACTGAACGAGGAAAAATTGGATCTGTCATTAACACTTGGGCTTGAAATGGGAATCGGTGAGAAAAGAGCTAAGAAAACATGTAGCTCTGGAAATGGGTTGTCAACCTTCGAACAGCAACTTTAATCAATTTTACAATACAGAAAAGATAATTTCAATCGAAACAGGAACTGAACTAGGACAAATTGAAACTTATAAGTGGGAATTGGATTTGAACTAGTAAACCATGAGAATTGAACTTGGAAAAACATTGGAATGTACATCAACACACGGGATTGAAATAGGAAAAGCACGGGGTTTACCAACAATAGCGATTGAATCAGGGCGTAACTGCGTAACGAAACGAAACTTGGAAAACTAAGTGGGAATTAACTAGGCTAGTGCATCACTTACTACGCTTTGGACATGTTTGGAGGTCCCTTCCGGCCCAGGGGTTGCCAGAAACATCACATCTCCAATTGAGGGAATCAATGGTACACGTGGGAAAATCTCCACAAAGCAATGGGGATAGAATAGATATGGAAAAAAATCAGACTTCACTACGAAAAACCACGGGAATTCATGCAAATCATTCCTGGGACTGGGAATTGTCTAGAGACTACATCATGGGATTTATCCACCAAGAATTAATCCGGACAGACCAACAAGCTGGATGTCATCTCAATTGGTGTATGTTCCTGTAACTGGTGGTATACTTACCTACCCCTCGGAAAAATGAGGGACTTCGTCAGTGATGATTGTTCATTCCCAACTGAATGGAAAGTCATACAATTCCATAGTTCCAAAGCACCAATCAAGTATTGTACCATAGATTATTCTAGATTATTAACCATTATTAACTAACATAATCAACCATTATTTAACCATTACTATGTGCCTTGGTTCTTATGGAACAGCTGGGATCAGACCCCAGGCCTCAACATACTTTGACCCTTTCACCCCAGGTAAAAGCCACCCAACCTCGTGAGTTCTTCAGCCCACATGCCGTGAAACACTCATGAACGCCACATAGCGACAAGGGCTACAACCAGGCTAACTTGGGTTTATGGCAGCTATACTGTCATGAACTATGGTTTGATGGCTTTGTAAAGAACTTAACACTGGGAGCCTGGGAAACTTTTGTATGAACAAGAGCATTACTCCACACGAACACTCCAAAATTCGTGGCTTGAGCAGCCGACGCAAACAAATCATGTAACATCCGAACAAACATGCTTCGTTACTGGAGATTTTCATCTTGAGATGCTGAACAACGCTCTAAAACCAAATGAATCAAAATGCCATGGGCCGAACAAACACCAACCAACTGGGGTCAACAGCTACATGTGTCGTCTGACAAAGTTTCTCGTTCCCATGAAAAAATGATTTCCGGGCAGTCAAATTCACATATTGGTGTTTGATTTTCCGAGCCACAAATTGGCAATTTACAATATCATGCCGTTGTCTTTGGTTCCTTGTTTCTTGTCATTGCTCGTGTGACGCATTCCTGCTCCTATTGCGTGTAGACCCTGCCACCACCGAAACACGAACCAAAAACCTGCGCAAAGAAGAACGTGACAGAGAATCAAACGATAAACGATGGCAAAAAACACAGGAACCCCCTATATCTACCCATCATATGCTATCATATGCTCCATGGTGCTGGTATTTTACCTACAAAACTGGGTGGTTTTCTTCGGGGTCGTCCCGGGTCGGGTCAGAAATGCGCGACGCAAATCTGGTGATTTCAACCGGACTTTGGCAAACAGGTTGTTTTTTTGCAACACAAATGGGTGGTTGACCAGCAAAAAAACGCGACTGTACCAGCAGAAAGCATGGGTTTGTCTGAAAATGATGAGAAAACCACCAAAAATCCACAAGTTGAACCTTATGTGTCCATGAAAATACGAGTAGCAATAAAACAAAATGGGATATCCAAACCCATCTTTGTTTTTTGGACAAACTGATGTGTGGTTCGTCTTCACTCTCCCACGTTTGCTAGTCATTGAAGATACTCATCCCAAGAATCACGGGGAAAGGTGACATAAATTCACCATATCCTCATCTGACATTCTCCAAACATCATCCAGCAGTCAAACGCAATCAGCTACCAGCTACCAATTTTGTACATTCTTCTAGCTGAGTGTAGCTGTGGAAAATCACTTTTCTTAAAGTCTTACCCTATGGTAAACTAACATAACTATGGAAAATCAGCACCTTTAATGGGTAAATTACGATAAATGGCAATTTTCAATAGCAAACTGTTAGTTTACCAAAGGGTAAACCATAATTGTTCAAATGGGCCAAACAAGGTGGGGACCCCCAGATAAAAACACATTATTATCTGTAGATATATCTACTATAAACATCTATAAACATCTATGCATAAACCATAGCTAGCCCAGTTTTTTTCACCGACATAGCTATGGGGACCCACTTTGCAAGATTTGACAAGTATAAGTATATCTATAGATATTATGGGTTTCGAAATCAACTTATGACTAGGGGCCAGCTTGTACCTGTAGACCGTAAAACATATTCCCAATAGATTCCCCAAATGGTGGATTAACCTGGCGTAACATCTATTCAATTCAAAAAAACATAGCCTACTGACAGTTCAGTGGAACCATCACAGATTGAATTCATTGGACGCGGAAAATGGAGAATGGATCCGGCCACAACAATGCCCAAACGGAGAAAAATGGAGCAGTCGGTTTGGCATACCGCCACCCAAAAAAATTGACCCTATGGTCATAATGAGTGATATTTTCTAACTGTTTTTTCCACAATAGTTTTAGTAAACCCAAAAAATATAGACCATCTGGTTATGACTAACAGTTTGCCATGGAAAGATCCACCCATTTTTAAGTTCGGTAAACCATCTATTTCTATGGCCACCTATACCATGGCGAAATGATAAATAACCAGAGGGTAGACAAGTAGTTTGCCATTATTTTAAACGGATTTTACCTTTTCTAATTATCTGTTTAGGGGCTGATATACTATACACCCAAAAAAATCCTAGCCCCAGCTGCACCAGCAAGATCCAAGACAACAAATCCCGCTCTGATCCCAGCTTTTCATCTGACAATGATTTGGTGGGTGTCTGGCTCAGGGCGCGCGCGATTTGGCGACAATCTAGTCCAAAAATTGGAGAAGATCCCTGAACTACAATACTTGAAGGATCTCAGGCCAGCAGGAGAGCTGAGTGTCCATCAACTTTTGTGGAAGTGCATGATACATAGACACAATTAAACATATACTGTCATATACGGCATACATGGTACCTGCACTTGGATATGGTGAAGAGGGCGGTAATCAAGTAGTAGATTCAGTAATGGGAAACTATCAAATCATCTCCAGCATTGTTCCCGAATGCGTAGCAAGGGTTCCCGTTTCACTCTGGGGGTCTGGGGGTTGAGGGTTTGTTCGCTCGACGTTGCGTTTGTGGTCGCAACCGTTCGCAACCGTCCGCAACCGTCCGCAACCGTTCGCGCGAACTCCGTACGGCCGTGCCTATGGGAAGTTTTGCAGAGGTGGTCCTTTTTGGAGGTTTCAGACGTCTGGTTGCTTCGTTTCGCGTGGCAGGCGTGGCACTTCGTGACATTCAGACGTGTTCTGCAACGTGTCGAAAGTCGTTTCGCGTGGCAGGCGCAATACTTTTGCGACGTTTTCAGAAGATGTGTTGCAGTTTTCGTGGCAGGCGCAACACTTTGGGCGTGTCCATCGTCATTTTTCGTGGCAGGCGCAGCACTTTAGACGTGTCCTTTTGCGTGTTTTTTGTAAATCGCATTGGCAGGGCTGCGTCAAGTGGTGACAAGGTGCAAATTCCGTGGCAGGCGTGGCATTTTCTCACATGTGTTGAAAATTGACGGAAGCCTCGCACGAAACATCGATTTTGATGTTACAAGTTTTCAGGTTCTAAGGAAAACTCGTAGGAAAACGTCGATTTTGGAGCTGCAAAGTATGAAAATTGGAGGAAGTCTCGCACGAAATGGTCGTTTTGGTGCTCCCACCTGTCTCGTCTCGAGTCTCTGGTTTTCCTGTGGCCTCGCCGTGTCTATGGGGGAAGCTGCAAAACTTGTCCTTTTGTCATGTTGCCAACTGTGAAAATTGGAGGAAGTCTCGTACGAAATGCTGGTTTTTCTGCATCCACGTGTCTTGTGTCGAGTCGCTGGTTTTCCTGTGGCGTCGCCGTGTCTATGGGGGAAGCTGGAAAACCTCTCCGATTCGAATGTGTCCAAGCAGGTTGTCATGTCGTTTTGCGTGGCAGGCGTGGCACTTTGTGACATTCCAACCTGTTTGATAACGTGTCGAACATATCAAGCTTGGAGGAAGTCTCGCACGAAATGCTCGTTTTTTTGCGCCCACGTGTCTCGTCTCGAGTCTCTGGTTTTCCTGTGGCGTCGCTGTGTCTATGGCGGAAGCTGGAAAACATGTCCTTTTCGAATGTTTCCAAGCAGGTTGTCATGTCCTTTTGCGTGGCAGGCGTGGCGCTTTCCTCACTCCACACTCCACACTTTACACTCCTCACTTTACACTCCACACTCCACACTCTACACACCACACTCTACACTTTCCACTCCAGACTCCACACTCTACACTTTACGCTCCACACTCCACACTTTACACTCCTCACTCCACACTCCAAACTTTACACTCCACACTTTACACTCCTCGCTCCACACTTTGCACTTTACACTCCTCACTGCACACTTTACACTTCACACTTCACACTCCACACTTTCCACTCAACACTCCACACTTTACACTCCACACTCCACACTTTACACTCCTCACTCCTCACTCCACACTTTACACTCCTCACTCCACACTTTACACTCCACACTTTACACTCCACACTTTACATCCACACTCCACACTCTACACACCACACTCTACACTTTCCACTCCACACTCCACGCTTTACACTCCACGCTTTACACTCCACACTTTACACTCCACACTCCACACTTTACACTCCCCACTCCACACTTTACACTCCACACTTTACACTCCTCACTCCACACTCCACACTTTACACTCCTCACTTTACACTCCACACTTTACACTCCACACTCCACACTTTACACTCCTCACTCCACACTCCACACTTTACACTCCTCACTCAACACTTTACACTCCACACTTTACACTCCACACTTTCCACTCAACACTCCACACTCCACACTTTACACTCCTCACTCAACACTTTACACTCCACACTTTACACTCCACACTTTCCACTCAACACTCCACACTCCACACTTTACACTCCACACTCCACACTTTACACTCCGCACTCCACACTCTACACTCCACACTTTACACTCCACACTCCACTCTACACACCACACTCTACACTTTCCACTCCTCACTCCACACTTTACACTCCTCACTTGACATTCCACACTCCTCACTCCACACTTTACACTCCTCACTTGACACTCCACACTCCACACTTTGCACTTTACACTCCTCACTCCTCACTCCACACTCTACACTCCACACTCCACACTTTACACTCCACACTCTACACTTTACACTCCATACTCCGCACTCTACACTTTACACTCCACACTTTGCACTTTACACTCCACACTCCACACTCTACTCCAAATAAACTATTGCAGAAAGGTATTGTGTGTCACTGCATAACCATGTGTTTTGACATCTGTACCATTAACATACGTGTGAGCATTCGGGTTCGTGGGCTTCATCTTGTTTTTTTTGGACATGTAAATGCACGAGATGACCTAGAATTTTGACCATACGGAAGCACCCCAAATGACATCATGTATATATATATATAGGCTCAAGGCTGGGGGTTCCCCGGAGCTTCCAGGAACCCTCAGTCTTGAGCCTGTATTACAAACGTCTTTATGGGCGGAGCGGGGGGGGGTGGGGGGGTGGGGGGGGTGTAATAACGTCATGTGGAGTGCGTTGGATTCAGAGTTGTGGAAACCTTGAGGATGTTGCTTCCTTGACGATGTTGTTACGTTGTAAGTATCGTTGTTGCTCTCGCTCCAAGCAACTGCTT